GGCAGAGTGGAGATAACCTCCCAGACTTGGCAGAGGCTAGTGAGCGCTGGCCTGTGGAGGCCCAGCCTGTAGGTGGGGAGGAGGGTGGGCGGGACAGTCTGGAATCTTCCCTCCAGCTCCCCCTTCTCCTCTTTTCCCCATAAAAGAATTCCAGGAGTGGGAGGGCCAAGCCAGGAGGGCCTCTGGATGCACCAGCCCAGCCAAGTGGGGAGGCCTGGGAAGTCCGCAGGTGGAGAGGCAGAATGTTGAGAGAGGGGAATGGAGAGAGGGAGGCAGTGCTTCAGAGAAAGGGAACCTTCTCCTTCAGAGAGCAAATGCCCAGAAGGATCCAGAACAGCCGCCCGCTCCTGACCAGGCTGGTTTCATTTCTGAGCAGAGCTCTCCCAGGCCGGCTCCTCCAGGAAGGGGACGGTGGGCACAGTGCAGGGCTTGCCCGCCACACAGGCCTGGATAGCTGACCTCCCTCAGTTTCCCCATCATGAAAACAGGTGCCACCCTGACTCTCAGCAGCCCATGCTGAACGTGCCATGGGCTCAGCACAGCCCATCCTAGCAAGGTGGTCACTCGGGGCAAGTCAGAGGTGGCTTGCTAAGGGACAAGCTGGTAAAGACAGTGCCAGTGCCCAGACGGCCAACTCCAGAGCCTGTCACCTGCAGCCACTACGCTGCATCTCCTGGGGTGAGGAAGGAGGGTGGTGGCAGCTGACGTGTTTAAGTTGAAGGGCAACATGATTCTCCGTGCACAGACACCTCTCAGCTGATCACGTTCACAGGCCACCTTTTGGAGGGCTTGTTCCATGCCAGGCCCTGCGCTGAGCACTTGATATATGTTATCTCCTTTAATCCCACAACACCCTGCTGAGACTGGACTTCTCATGCATTTCACAGAAGGAAACACCCCTGAGCCTGGTTACCTAACACCGCTGCAGGTGGAGCCTGGGTTTCAGCCCCGCATCCCGTTCCTGAGCCACATTGCCTGGCCCTCATCCGTGAAGGACCACTGCTGTCCTTCCCTCTCCCTGGACCCCTTCCTCCTCCTGCCCTCTCAATCACACCTCCTTGCTGGTCTGTCCCTTCTCCCAACCCTCGGCCTTTCGCGTCTTGGGGAGCCTCCTATTGAGATCCCTGCCTCCTTTAATTACCTGGGTTCACAGCCTCTGTGAATATCAGGGCCACCTGTGCTGTCATGGAATGTCGTGGGGATGGTTCCCTGCCTGGTGGAAATGCAAACCTTGGCTCTGTGCCAGACCCTCTGCTCTGAAGGGTAGAAACCAACGTCTCCTGGTGCCTAGCCTGGGCCTGGGCCTGGGCTGCTGTGTCTCTGCCGTCAGGGTCCATTAACTGGGATGAGGGAGGAAGGAGGAGAACAGAGGGTGGGGAGGGAGCTTCTTTGGGTTGCCTTCCGTGGCTCAGCAAAGGGGTGACACTCAGGGATGTAAGATCTGAAGTTCTTTCCAGGGGCTCCATAGCCCCCCAAACCAGGCCTTAGAACCTCCCCATCACACCCCATTCCCTGGGCTGACTTCACTCCAGCCATACGGGCTGCTTTTTTGCTCCTCAAACTCACCAACATCACTTGACTGGCAGCTTCCCACTCTATGGTCCCCTTTCCAAGGTCCCCTCTGAGAGGCTTCCCTGGACCCCCTGCTCCCCTCTGCACTTGATCTCCACACCCTGTTCTTTTCTGAGCATTCTGAAATGATGGTGTTGATTTGCTTCCATGGGGGTGTGTCTCCCCCCTTAGACCACACGGCAGGTCCTGCCTGCTCTGTCCACTTCTGCAGTCGGATCATGGAAGCTACACCGTGAGCTTCGCCCGTCCTCTTGCACTTGTGAGGTGGTCATTTTTATTGCGCCTGGTTTGTTCGATGAGTGGATAAAAGTGCTGGAATCCACGTTGATTAAATGAAGGCAGGAGACCCTCAAACATGGGCACCTTGTTCCTTCTCACCCTGGCCTTCAGGCACAGAAGGGGCAGGGGCAGCTTGGCCCTGGTGCCTGGCTGTGGCCGCAGGTGAAGGAGTGTCACCAGGTGTTATGAAATCGAAGCTGTGGGAAATGTGCCTGAAGCGGCCCAGGGCAGGAAGAACCAGCCTGCCCACTGTGCCCAGGCGGGGAGGAGAGGTTCTGCCGGGGTCTGGCCAGTTCTTGGCTTGGAGTCGGAGGGCGGGAGTGAGTTGGGGGCCAGCGTCCCGCTGGTGACAATGAAAAGGTGACTGGGAAACTTGGGCTTGCTCAGGAGCAGTAGGCACATAGGTTACCTGTCCTCAGACCCAAAGAATCACCACCCATGACGGGCGCTTGGCAGAAGCTTTTCCACTCCTCCTACTGCTTCCTGAGAAGACCACGCCCCCTAGACCCTGTGTGCCCACTACGGCATGTGTCCCTGGAACCTTGCCCCTCAACCCATTGGCAAGCAGCAACCAGCTGCTCCCCAGCGGCCCCAACTCCTGAGCTGCTTTCTGCTCTCCCATAGGTGCCCCTCGAGCGTGCACCTGGCAAAACCTCCCTGTCTCCAAGGTGACACATCCGGGCTGTTTCCCCAGGAGGGCCAGTTGTGAAACACTCAGGAATGTCTGCACTCCTTCTGAGATTCCTCACTGAGAAGAGGCAGCGCTCGCTCTTGCCTGGCGCCCTTCCCTTCCGTCCTTCTTCCTCTTGCCTCTCCAGCATCTGGGTCATTTGATGTCATGATTGGGGTTTGGGGGCAGCCCAAGATGTGGAGGCTGGAGGCTGGGACCAAGCAGATCTGGCTGGGAAGGAGCTGGGGCTGGGAGTCCCCAGCAGGCCCCCAAGTCCTGGCCACATCTCAAAGCAGATATCTCTTCCCAGTTTGCATTCTTGGCACCTGCGCAGGGTGGAGTGCTGCAGGCCGAGGAGCACCCACAGATCCCCAGGAGGAACTGTCCTCGCCGCTCACTCGCTGACAGGAAGAGTGAGTGTGCACTAGTGTGTGTTTTAGCTCAGTGCAGCTAAGACACGTCTCTCCATCCTGATTCTCTGAATGGCACGTCTCTGCACACTGAATAATTCATCTCCCTCTCGGCATTTGTTCCAGAGAGAATCTTGCTGTCCAGATTTCTTGTTAAGTTACACAGTTCTTCCCATACCAGCTTTTCTCTTCCCCACGAAGAGCTCTCTGAGAGCCCAGGGATCAGTCCTCTGCCTACCGCCCCATGACTGCATCCCAGGGGAGGTCAAATATCAACCCAAAGCCTCTCTCCTCTCACCCTCTCCTTCTAACTTTGTGTCCTGTTGCCTCGCTTCCTTTATTCCCACTGGGTACCATGTCTGCTAGCACGAAACAGCGCACCAGCCCTGGTGGGACGTCTGCTTCTGTCACATTGCTGACGCTTATAGCTCACATGCGTCTGAACTCTGACTTTGCAACGAGCAAGCTTGGAATCATCCATGGAGTTGACGGTTTCTGGAAAAATGATGCATTTTTGGTGTTTCAGCCCTGTCCCCTAACCCTCATTCCCATCCTGCGTGGCGGGAGCTCAGCAGATAATTTGTATGGAGGACTTTGAAACATCTCATTGCTGTTCATGGAAGAGCCATAGATAATTTCATTGAGGATCTTTGCACTGAGACCTAGAAATCCAAAGGTTTTCCTGTGCCCCCACCTGCTCCAGATGTCCCCCTGGTTCAGCTTCACCCTCTGTCCCTCTAGGGTTACTGGGTTCATTTTCCAGACAGTTCTGAGGCTCAGTCTATCTTGTTAATATTTATTAGCAAAGCTTAGGTCTTGGAATCTAGCAGTGGAGCTTCAGGAGGCCTGGTGTTTAGTAAGCACATGACGTAGTTCTCTGTAGTTGGTAGAATCAAGTGAGAGCGCCTATGACCAGTCAGGGAACATGAAGATATATAACATACTTTCTAAGCCTGGACTGAGCTATTGTTCAATATTTTAATTATAATTAATGTACGAACATTACAGGGGATTTAGTTTTAAGAAAAAAGAAAAATATTTAAATTGCATCCAAATCCTTATACCCAGATAACTCTTCAGGTAACGTTTTTAATGTGCATCTTAACAGTTTCCCTCCAAATTCATTCTGATTCTCTACCACTGTGCCTCAGTTTGCCAATCTGTAGAAAGAGTACAAAGCAGAGCCCCCAGGGCCTCCAGAAGCGAGGGGGAGGAAGTAGGGAATATTAGAATGAGTGTCTTAGGCAGAGGCAGCAATGGGAAGAAACCAAAGTGGCTATCTAAAGCAGCCACTCCTGCTGAGTCCCATGTGCCTGGATTCCTGGTTCCCCGTGATCTGATGAAAATACTCGATAAATGGTTTGTAATAGTTTTCCAGGCTTCATAAGCCTTTGTTGGTTTAGTTGGGTGATTTGCCTATTTGATTTAGCCACTAAGATCACCACCACTTCCCTCTCCATGAGATGGGACAGAGAGTGTAGTTATTGCCAAAAGATAAGTTTGACTGGGCTTGTCTAGGGAGGGACAGCAGTGGGTACAGACAGTTGGGAACCATTGCAATCAGCAAATAAATACTTCTCCCTGGCCCAGCTCACAGGGGTGGAGCATCTTCTGTTCTAGATGCTGTGGTAAGCCAGCTTTTTGCAGGGCAAGTGGGCACAGCAAACACAGGAGAGAGCCAGGGTAAAGACTGGAGACCGGGTGGCCAGCAAGTTACAGGTGGGAAGGCCAGAGATGACTGGAGTCCAAGCCAAAAAGCCAAGACTTGACCTTAGAGCTCCATCCTGCAGACCCTCAGTTAGAGATGTGGGAATCAAGGCCCAGAGTAGGAAGTTGACTGGCTCAGGCCCCTACCAAAGCCAGGGCTCAAGATGGCCTCCTTCCCAGGGTGACCTTGTCTGATGCTGCCGCAGAATATGGTCACCTTCCCAGAACAAGGGAGAGGGTGGAGCTGGTGGCATAACAGTGCAGAACTTCTGGGTCTGTTGGGCCAGCCCTGAGGAGCAGCAGGTCGCAGGAGCTTGGGGGACTCTAGGCTGATGGAGTCTGTTTCTCCTCTCCCTTGCCAGGTACACCAAACCGCTCACCTTTGCTGACTGCATTAGTGATGAGCTGCCACTGGGATGGGAAGAGGCGTATGACCCACAAGTTGGAGATTACTTCATAGACCACAACACCAGTAAGTTCCCGGCTGTCCTGCCTCCCCTCCTCATCCAGCTCCCTCCCCACGCCCACCCCCTCCAAATCTGGAAGAGCCACAGCAGACATTCTCCACGCCAGATTGTGTTTTGTTTTATGAAGACGTAGATAGAGATGTCAGTGTGGCTATAGATAGATAATATATGCTCATGAAAAACAACAGTTTAGAAGAATTTTGCATCGAATGTAAAACTCCTCTTTTCGTCCACCTCCTCGATTTTATAGAGGCCGCCATTGCTAACAGTTTCTTGTGTATCATTTCAGACATTTCCTGATCCTATGTGATTGTGTGTATGTATGTATACATGCATATATTCTTTTTTTCACATATATAGATTTATGTGCATCTTGCCTCCCTCCCTAAAAAAAGTAGATGTGTCATTGTCATTGACAGACAGTTTTGGAGAAGCCAGAGCCCTAGAAAATTCTGAGCAGCTCGTACGTACATATGACCATAGTAGATTGGTCTGCGTGTGTCTGTGTCTCTGGCCCACTGTGCCAGCCAGCCCACCCTCACTTCATATCTGTGGTCCCCAGTACAAAGATTCCTTGTATCTCTGTTTCTGGGACGATGATGGAAGCTTGTCTGACAGGTGGTAGAATGTGGAGAACAGTTCTCCAGCCGGAGAGCCCACGTGTGTCTGGGTTTCATTCACTGTGCAGCCCCCTTAGCCAAGAGCATCCCTGTCCTTCTCAGTCTGCTGCCCCATTTGTCCATGTGTTCAGAGGAAAAGGATTTTCCTGATTTGCTCTTGGTTATCAAAACGATAGGATTCTCTTTCGGATTCCCTCCTCTTTCAGGCAAGAGGAGACGGGACTGCAGTGGGTGGGATATGCCTGGCAAAGTCTGAAGAGTAGGGCACCAGCTCCTTAGGGCACCTGTTTATGGAGCGCATGCTCTGTGCCATGCACAATGGTAGGCGCTCCACAGCCATTATTATCTCCTTTAATCCCCCAGTTACCCCAGGGGATGTTACAATGACTGTCCTCATCTTATAAATAGGACCTAGAGGTGGTAATCGGCTGCTCAAGACTCAGCAAAACGGTGGCTGAACTGGGGCTCTGCTGGGGCTGGAGAGTGGGGTCGTGCTTCTGAGTTTCATTTACCTGTCATTGCAAGTTCTCCTAGTATGGTGACTGTCCCATTCATTTCCTGAGCCCCAATCCTTTGCCTGGTGAGATGCATAGTAGGTGTGGCCTTGACTTTTATTAAATAGAAGAGGGCATGCGTGCATGAATGCACGAGGTGGATGAATGAGCAGACTGTGGTGGGTACCAAAGTGTATAAGAGTTTCTGAGAGACAGCTAATGGCATTAATTGCATTGTTGGGGGTAGCAAAGGTCTTTATTAGCACTCAGGATTGTGTCCTGGATAATGAGAAGTAAATATGCCTAATTGAGTGTGTGTGGGGAATGAGGTTAGCGCTCGGCGGGCTGCTTGGGCTGTCGGGTTAAACGCTGCTGTACCGCTGTACGGAGCCTTAATCAGCCCTTTCCTGCTTCTAATTGCTGAGAGCATCCCCCTCATTAAAATCTCATGGCAGGAGTGGGATTTTAAGGTGCTTCTGGGAGTTGCTGGAGAGATGGAAGGAAGCAAGGAATAGCAGGCCATGGTGAATGTATCCTTGAGGGGCTGAAGGCAGACACAGGGTGTATGCAGGGAGGGGTGATTAAAGGCACCACAAACTGGAATAATTCTGCGTGGTAGTTTTACTAGCTGTGAGGCTGTGAGCTCTCTTTTGGTATGCAGGTGATGTCACAGGGTAGAGGAAACCACTTCTGCCAATGGAGCCATTGATATGAATTTAGCTTGAATGTGAGCTTTGAGACCCGAACATCTGGAACGGTGGACTCAGACCAGTCTTTTGTGTATGTGTTGTTTGTGGACTGAAACCCCTCTCCAGAGTTATAGATCAGGCCAGGCGCAGTGGTGCATACCTGTAATCTCAGTGGCTCGGGAGGCTGAAGCAGGAGGATTGTGAGTTCAAAACCAGCTTCAGCAAGGCCTTATATAAATAAAGGCCTTTATATAAATAAAATACAAGAAGGGGCTTGGGATGTGGCTCAGTGGGTAAGCATCCCTGGGTTCAATTCCCAATAACACACACACACACACAAACACACACACACACAGAGTTATAGATCAGCATAATCAAACAACAGTTTACTCATAAATTTACCATCTAACTTTCATTCATTTAGCAAATATTTATTGAGCACGTTTTCTGGGAGCTGGGAATACACAGGAGTGTAAAGTGACAAAGATCTTTTCTCTTATAGAGGTTTCATTTTTGGCAAAAGAGACAGAAAATAAACTGAATGAACAGATGATGTAGTATGTTAGAAAATCTTTTGTACGATGGGGAAAGAATGTGGGGTCAAGTGTGTGACTGGGGTGGTCAGGGAGGGATGGTGGTGATGGTGGCCAATGACAGTAAGAAATATGATCTTCAGGAAAGAAGAGCTTGTTGAGACCAGGAGATCTGAGCTAGAAAGAAGTCAGGTAGCCATTCAGAGTAGAGAGCGAAGCTGCAAGGTGTGATCACACTTAGTTCATTCAGGAGTCAGTGAGCAGGGCAGTGTCCACACAGTGAGTGAGGACCAGGGGCGAGGACATTGGCAGAGGGCCGCCAGATGGTTTTGCCCCTTTTACTTGTTAAAAGTAGGGAATCTTTATATTGTTTTTCTCTCTATAATTTTTCTAATGATGTGTTTTCTGAGTACTGTATCCACAGGTTCTGCATTTGTGGGTTCAATGAGCCTTGGATTGAAACTATTTGAAAAAAACATTGCTTCTGTACTGAACATCCACATTCTTTTTTCCTTGTCACTGTTCCCCAAACAACCCAGTGTGACAGTTCCTTACATGGCATTTACATTTGCTAGGTATTGCAGTCTAGAAGTGACGTAAAGCATACAGATTCATGCACATATGTTGCATATAAATACTACCCCAGTTTATTTTAATTTTTTTTGGTGTGGGGGGGGGGTTCTTAATCACTGAGCTACAACCCTAGCCCTTTCTTTAAAAAAGTCTTTTATTTAGAGACAGTTGAAAAGGATCTTGCAAAGTTGCTGAGGCTGGCATTGAACTTGCAATCCCCCTGCCTTAGGATCCCAAGCCACTGGGAATACAGTAGGCATGTGCCACCATGCCTGGCTCACCCCATTTCATGTATGGACTTGAGCACCCATATATTTTAGTATCCTTGGAGGTCCTGGAATCAATGCCCTGAGGAAACCAAGGGATGACCGAATAGAATAATGAAGTCAAAGGTTATAACACTTTAGGGACTTTGGGATGTCTCCCTTGATTAATGAGTCTTCTCAAAAGCTCCCATCAGTCCACTGTACCACAAGCTGTAAGTGTGCTGGTTTCCTCCCACCTTCCTCAGAATGGGGCTGTCTTCATTTCTTTTGATTTTTTTTTTTTTTTTTGATTAGTTGATCATAGGTTTGGCCTGTGTGGTGCCAGTGTTGAATGTTTTCCAGATGTTCGGCTGTTTTAAGACAGTTGCTTTTGTTGTTATTGTTATAGCTTTTGGAAAATACAGTGCTGTTGCCTTGTGGGTGTGTTTGCAGTGCGTGTGTAGGAGACTGGTGGGCACACAGCTCAGGAGTGTGGTACTCCCACGTGCCAGCAGCACGTGCAGAGGTGTGGCTCTTGGGCAGAGATGGGGAGGAGTGCTTCTCAACCACAACTTTACCGAGCCAGCCCAGCTCCTATTGGAAGTAGCTATCTCCCAGGCAGAGGGATATGAGGGAGAAAGGGATGGGGACATGACGGTTTACGAAGGAAAGTTTTCAGGCTGCTGAATTATTAAGTTGTTGTATAACTTCAATAAAAGCAAGCCGGGCTGGGCGCAGTAGCCCACGCCTATAATCCCAGCAACTCTCGAGGCTGAGGCAGGAGGATCAAGAGTTAAAAGCCAGCCTCAGCAATAGCGAGGTGCTAGGCAACTCAGCGAGACCCTGTCTCTAAATAAAATACCGAATAGGGTTGGGGTTGTAGCTCTTTGGTTGAGTGCCCCTGAGTTCAGTCCCCAGTACTTCCCCCCAAATTTTAAAATTTATAAAAGCAAATGAAGAATAGTTGGCTATGGTGATCTCTAAAAGTCTCTCCAGGTCACCTCTTTTGGTGAGATAGACTTGAGGAAGAACAGTGGTGGCAGAAGGGCAAGGCTAAGGGAGGGACCCCTTAACAGTGACCAGCTCAGCACTAACAGCATGTGACATGACCATTGAGGCAGCTTTTAAAAAGTCAGTGCCCTTCAAGGATGGTCTTTTCAGCAGTTGCTGCTACAACTGGTATCCACATGGAAACAATAAAAAAATACACCTGCACTTTATTGCTGCCTCATGCCATATAGGAAAGTAAACTCAAAATGGGCAATGTAAACACTAACACATGGAGAAGTAAACACAGGAGAAAATTTGCAAGATTTTATGGTAGCCAAAGGTTTTGTTGTTTTTGTTTGTTTTTACTGGGGACAAGTTACAAAAAGGACTTACCAAAAAAGAACAATTAGTAAATTGAGTTTCATCAACTTAAAACCTCTGTTTTTCAAGAGAAAAACTGAAAAGGGAAGCCACAGATGAGGAGAAAATGTTTATAATATATCTCTCTGACTCTTATACAGAGCTCCTATAACCTGATGCTAAGCCCAGCAAGCCAATTAAAAAAAAAAAAGGCAAAAGATATTTTTGCACTTCCTAATGAAGAAATGCACATAACCAATCGGCACATAAAATTGTGCTTTACATTGTTGGTTTCAGGGAAATACAAATTAAAGCTACCATGAGGTACCACCACATACTCGTTGAATGACTTAAAAATTGACAATTGCAATAGCAAGAAAGGGACAGCTGAAGCTATGACAGAAATGAATCTCAAAATCCTGATGCTGGTCCAAAGAAGCAAGACCCAGAACATCTGCTGAACGAGTTTGTCTATTGTCAAGGTCTAAAACTGGAAGGGGGATGGTGGGGGCGGGGAATGGAGAGGATTGACTAGGAAAGAGCACAGGGGTGTCTTGGGCTAAAGGAAATCTAAAAGTGATTGGAGTGGTGGTTTAGGATGTATGCATTTGTTAAACTGCACACCTTAAACCACTTCATCGTGTGTAAACTGTGCCTCGGTTGGAGTTTATTTAAACCACACATTGATTCCTACTTCATACTGCACACCAATTTTATAGACATCTCAGGGTAGTTCCACTGTGTAGCCAGGTTGAAGACCAGTGTTCTGGTGTGAGTATGTGTTGTGTTTGTCTGTTTGTGCACCTAAGCATCTGTTTTGGTTTACACTACAGGGGAAAGGAGGGGCTACCACAAATGGTAGGAAAGCCAGGCCAGGCTGTCAGTTAAAGGACCCACATACCTTTGTATTCCAAGGAGCAGAGTTTAGGTCTGAGGCCAAAAGAAATGTGGACTCCCAGACTCCAACCAGAGCATACCAAGGAGGACCCACCCAGCTGTGATGGAGGGTACCTGTCTGGGGACCCACATTCCATCCAGCTTCTAGCAGGTGGCCTTGCCCAGAGCTCAGCTTCCCCCTGCCAGCCTCAGTGACTGTGGGTCCCTTGGTGTTGTCATCTCTTGCACACTGGTTCTCACCTTTGGCCACATGGGAATTGTCTGGGGAACTTCATAAACCACCATCACCTTGTTCCCACCTCCAGAGGTGGCCCTGTGGTCTGTCCAGGTGTGGGGCCCGGGCTGCAGAGTTTAACAATTCTCTGGGTGAAGAAACTCGTTCTTTGGTGCTGGGGATGGAACCCAGGGCCTGGTGCATGCTAGGCAAGTGCTCTACCGCTGAGCTACATCCTAGCCCTGTGGAAGGTCCCCGTGCCCTATTCTGATTGAAGAGTTCTGGGGCAGGGTTTGGGCCTGATTTTGTTGCAGGAAACTCGTTAGCTGATTCCAATGTGCAGTGAAGACCCCAAATCACTCACTAGAGGAGGCTCAGCGATTTTTTGAGAATTGGGGAAAAGGGCTTTCATAGGTGGATTTTTAAGTATAGAAATTAGCAGAACCTTTGAGAAGGTAGTTTGGTAGTATCTACTCAAATTTAAAAGATGCATAGTCTTCCTCTTTTAAGAAATCTGCCCTTCAGAATCAGCACAGATTCATAGAAGTACGTTTTTAAGGCTCATCACTGTACTATTAATTGTAAAAGACCTGAAAAGAATCCAGATGTTTCCCAATGGAAGTCTGGTTCAATAAAACCTCATACCATACCGTGGAGTACTATGCAGATCTTTAAAAGATCATACACCTATAAAGAACATGATACATCTCCTGGAGGTGAAAGCAAGTTGATGATCATTATATCTGACATGGGTCATGTTGCAGTAAATATAACTTTATATTATTTACTTATTTGTGTACAGATAACTTTGCATATCATAAACAAGGATTTTTAGTAATGAGGGGGCACCCCCTGTTAGTGTTGGAGTGATGGAAACTCTCACTTCTTTACTTTGTAACTTTGTAATGGTAGAATTGTAGAATTTTTCTTTTTCGTATCTTTTTAATCATTTTTTTTCAATGAGAACTATGCATGTATTTCTTTTTGTAGCACAGCCTATTGAATCCAGGGCCTTGCACAGACGAGACAAGCACTCTACCACCGAGCAAACCCCTAGCTCTGAAGGTTAAAATTTAATTCTCAGAGCCAGGCGTAGCACTGTGGTAGAGCAGTTACCTAGAGCCACACGGCCCTGGGTCCCGTCCCCAGTACTGGGAAGAACAGTTGACAGACTTAAAACACATCTTGAGCCTGGCCAAGACACACCAAGCTTCTTTTCTGTGGCCTGTGCCAGTGGGTTAGTCCCTGCAGGAAAGCCACAGTCTCCTACCCAGCCACCCTGCCGCCCACCACTGCACACGCCCCTCCTCCTCCTGTTTCTCTTCCTCCTCTTCCTTTTTCTCCTCTTCATCTTTTTTCTTTCTTCATTTTTCTTCTCGTTCTCCTCCTTTTTCTTCTTCTTTCTCCTTCTTTTTCTTCTTCTTCTTCCTCTTCCTCCCCTCCTTCTCCCTCTCTGGCTGGCTCCTCCCTCTTGTCTGGTTGAAGGGACGTAAAGCTGTCCTCATGAAAAGCAATTCTCCAGTCCCTGTCTGCAATCTTCACACCTATTTTCCTTCTCAGAGGGAGGAGGAAGAGCTTGCAGAATAGCCAGTCACAGACACCCGGAAGGCTGGCCCTAGGCAGGAGTTTGGTTTTCCTTTCACCACGGTTTGCTTGCTGAACCTGGACAAGGTGCCTCACAGTTTTCTTGGGAACAGTGATGAGAGTCCATTATTCTTCTCTTAACAGGTGCAGAAGTAGATTCAGAGAGGTTGAGCCACCTGCCCCTGGGAACACAGCCTTTGTGGCAGGAATGCGAACCTGGCCCTCTGTTTCTTTGATCCTTCCCTCCTTCACTGGAGATGCTCATGGACCCTCAGAGGAAGGGAGCTAGAGGGCCTAGATTAGGAGGCACAGACTCATATGTCCTCAAAGGCACGTGACATAAATGAATACAGCAGACCTGGTGTAGAAGAACGGAGTGCTGGGGCCAGTGGTCAATTGTGATCCCAAGATGGACAGATCTTCTAAATGACCCAGAAAAGTTTCAAATGAAGATTTTAATGAATGTATCTCCTTATTTTAACTTTTTCATAATCAGTTCAAAATTACTAATACTCTGGGCTAAGCAAAAGCCTGCCTACAGGCTGGTTACTGGGTGGCATGATTGGACGATCTCTTCTCCCGACAACAGGAGATAACTGAGGATTCTTTGATAATCCTTTGCCTGCTTCTTGTCTGCTAGGCAGACAAGAAGCAAGTCTTTTTTTTTTTTTTTTTTTTTGCAGTACTGGGCATAGAACCCAGGGCATTGTGCAGGTCAGGCAAGCACTGTACCTCTAACCTACATCCCCAGCCCTTTTTAAAATTTTATTTTGAGGCAAGGTCTCAATAGATTGCTGAGGCTGGCCTCAAACTTGTGATCCTCCTTCCCTAGCCTCCTGAGTGCAGTTGTGAGCCTTCATGCCTAGTTCAGCTGCATTGAAAGAACATCAACCCTTTTAATGTTTTGGATTTTCATTGTTCATGTTTGTTATACACCTGTTTTTAAAAGCCTAAAAAAAAATAACCTACTTCCCAGTTGGTTGTTAAGATTTTGTTTTATCCTCCTAATCATTTTGAGAATGTATATATTTATTTTATTTTGATAAATACAAAATTATTTATTCAGTTTGCAGGTTCATTTCCATTTACTTTTATATCAGAAGCACATTTGCATTTTGTTAATTTTCCTTCAAAGGCATTATTATTAGTGGCTGCATTATACTGTGCTATGTAAGTAGAACATCTTTATTCAAGCAGTTATTTCCTGTATAACCTTGAGCAAGTTAATTAGCCTCTCTGTGCCATATTTTTCTTTTTTGTATAATGGGGATAGGAAAAGAATCTACTTTATAAGTTAGTATAGGGATTGAAGAAGTAAATACATATGAAGTTCCTAGAACAATGCTTTATAGAAAGTAAACGTGAAGGATGTACTTGATGCTTATTATCATGATTTTGTACAAATGCATCTTTGCTTGGATTTTAAGAATCATTTTTATGATAAATTATTATAGAACGAATGATTGGTCAAGTTTATTAACTTTCTTAAGACTCCTAATTTGCATGGTCAGGTAGCCCTCTAGTAAGACTGTTGTAATTTATATTTCTATCAAGCTATATAGTTTCTATTTCTCCATATTCTCTGACATAGTTATTCCTTTCCTTTACTCTTCACTGAAACAGATGACCTTGACCGTCTGTGATGCCCTTGGGCCTCTGTGTCTTGCTTAGAACTCCAGCTTGCTTTTCCTTCCGGCTGTTCTCAGACAGAGATTGACGTTTAGTGTGGAGATTGACAAAGCCTCTGTTGGTTTATTTTCTATTTATGTGACTAATCCAAATGGAGGCTTTGTCATTTAGAGATTTTAACCCATTTACATTTATTGTGAGTTTCTATGCCTTTTGCCTTTGTTTTCTGGTGGTGAAGATTCCACAGGCGACTAACCCAACCTTTATTTCTCAGATGCTGACTTAGGATCTCTGGGTTCTGTTCCAGAAACCACTCAGATTGAGGATCCCCGGGTACAATGGCGGCGGGAGCAGGAGCACATGCTGAAGGATTACCTGGTGGTGGCCCAGGAGGCTCTGAGTGCACAAAAGGAGATCTACCAGGTGAAGCAGCAACGCCTGGAGCTCGCGCAGCAGGAGTATCAGCAGCTACATGCCGTCTGGGAGCACAAGCTGGGCTCCCAGGTCAGCTGTGAGTACCTCCCACTATCCCCGCTCTGCCAGTACCTGCCAGGAATGGCCATGCTTCGTGCTGCCACCATTGCTTCTCAGTACGTCTGAAATCTGCCTGTCTTTCTCCATCCTCACTCCTCATTTAAACCACCCTCCTCTCCACTGCTCCTCCTGCTCCTAACCTGTGCTAGCTGCAATTCATTGACCATTTACATTGGATTGTATTCCATTTCCTGTGACTATCTTAGAATGCCACCCGGATTGTGCATCTCCTTGTTTAAAACCCGTGAGTGGCTACGGGAGGTGGGGAGCAGAGAGAGGAGTTTTGGTTTGTGAAGATGACAAAGTTCTTGAGATAGTAGTGATGGATGGCAGTATCTTCCAACAATGGGCATGTACTTAATGCCATGAACAGTACATTGAAAAATCATTAAAATATTCGTTATGTATATTGCAATGGGAAAACCAGCAAACAGCCTCCAGTCCTCCCGAGGCCCACAGAGCCCTATGTGATCAGGCTCTGCTGCAACCCGGCCTCCTCTCCTGTGTTCATCACTAGGATGCAGATGCACCACTTTGCTCCCACCCCCGTCGTATGCCCTCAGTCTGCCTCCTGCTCTGTCCTGCAAGCTCCACATCCGGGTCTTTGCATTTGCTGTTTCCCTTCCTAGGAGGCTTTTCTCTTGATCGACTTGCAAGGCAACTCCTCCTTGTCCTTGAAGCCTCATCCTCAGGCCCTTGCCTCTGAGAGGTTTGCTCTGACAATTCTGTCAAAAGCCCCCTTCCTGATGGGCAGGCTAACGTGCCTGTAACCCCAGCTGCTCAGGAGGCTGAGGCAGGAAGATTGCAATTTCGAAGCTGCCTGGGCAACTGAGAAAACCCTGTCTCAAAGTAAAATAAAAAGGGCTAGGGATGTAGTTTGGTGGTAGAGTGCTTGCTTAGCATGATCAAAGCCATGGGTTCCATCCTCAGTACTTACCAAAAAAGTGGGGCCCCCTTCCCCACCATGGCCTCGTCGTGGCTCTGTGGATCTTTCTCGTTGTGGGTTTCCAACACGTCTGCTCTCACTGTAAGGAGGCTTTACAAGGGCAGGGCTCCTACCTTCCCTATTTACCCTAGTGTCCCCAGGAGGGAAGCAGGTAGGCCAGTATCCCCTTTGTCTTTCTTTCCCAGGGCTGGGAGTTACCAGATTGGTAGCTGTCCAGGATCACAATGACCTTTTTGTCTCTTACACTATTTTTAAATAACCAAATATTTCTGTGCTTGCTGAGCACTCATTACACACCAGCACTCCACCACAGTATGATCAATTTGCAAGGCAATTCCTCCTTGTCCTTGAAGAAGGACTGTTTTATTCCATCTTCATGACAGTTCTGTACAACCCAAGCACAGTTCAAGCATTAATTCAAGCTTAATTCACATCCCCCTTTAACAGATAAGGAAACTAAGGTTTAGGATCAATGCTGTTCCCAGGGTCTTCATGGTGAGTCACAGCAGTAAGTTTCATTTTGTCATTTTCCCCAACACATTCAGTGTGGCCTTGGGGACCAGCCTGAATCTCCAGGGTGTCAGGGTGGCTCTGGCTTGGTTGGGTCACTGGTCACTGGTCCTGTGTGAAGCCCTTGCTCTGAAAGTTCATTCTGCTAGCAGGGTGGGCCAAACCATGATGTGTTGCTCGCGGTCCCAGCCCTGCCCTTTTCCTTGGACACTCAGGAAAACTTCTAGAATCTCAGAGATGACAGAGAAGAACTACATTGCATTCATTAGCCATTTCTGGGTCAGGTAATGTTCTAGAGACTGCTGTGAATCTGTCTTAGCCTGGGCTGCCATAACAAAATACCACAGACCAAGGACCAGGGGCTTACGCAACAGACATTTTTTTCCTTGCAGCTCTGGAGGCTGGACATCTGCTACAAAGGGGCTGGTGTGGTCAGGTGCTGGTCCAGGCTCTCTGGGCTTGCTGACGGCAGTCTTCTCCCTATTCCTGCACGTGACTGAAAGAGAAGGTGACAGCTCACTCTCTGTTTCTTCTTGTAAAGTCACTATCCTATGATGGCAGCCCTACCCTCATGACTTCATCAAAACCTAGTTATCTTCCTGAGCCTCACCTCCAAATACCATCATTTTAGGGCTAGGGCTTTCACACATGAACTCAATGCCTAGTGTTATCATTACCACCATCCTGGAAAGGAGATATTATTGCTTCTAGTGAAACTTAGGTTTAAAGAGATAAAGAGGTTTCCTCCCCACCCCGTCCCCAAGTTCCACTGTTGGAAAAGGAGCAGACGTACATAAAACAAGGCTTCCTATTGGGCAGGATGTTTACATGGTCCTAAAGTATTACCCCCCAAATTACTTTCTAACTTCAGAGGGTAAAATGCACTTTTCCATTGGAAATTAGCAGCCACCACTTTACATGCGTGGTGAAATTAGCACCAACAGTAACGAGGCCAGTTGACCTCATATGCCCTCCAATGTGATGTAGTGAAAACATCACCAAATCCTTCACAGAAATATTACATCTGCTTCATGAATGCAGCCAGATACACAACATGCAGTAATCTGCCAGGTAATTGGCCTAGATCTTGAAAAGCCTAAAGCAACCTACGAGCCAAATGAAATGCTGGTGTCCTAAATAAGACGATACACCGGGGAAGAAATGGCCATAAAAGACATTCTCAGACCACTGCAGAACTTTCTTAGGTGTAATAATGGCATTATGGGCATGTGGAGAGTGTGTTTTCAGAAGGTGCATGTGCATCCTGTCTGCAACTTGTTCTGAGAAAGATCAGGGCTGGGGGAGTAAAAGTAAAGAAAAAGGGGAAAAGCTAAGCCAACTGAGCACATCAGCGGATGTCGATGACACATTGACCATTGTTGTAGGCTATAAACCAGGCACCGACTTGAGAGGAAGAATTGGGGTGGGAGGCGGGATCGGTAGAACAAATGTAGAAATATACTGAAAACTGGTGAGTCTAGGGGAGGATGTATCAATAGTCATTGTATTATTCTGTCAAGTGATATGTGGATATAAAGTGTCCAAAATTAAAACTCAGCTGGGGGAAAAGAGACAGATACTGCAAGAATGAAGCATTCTCATGACAAACGCTTTGGCAGGAGGTGATGGTCTGGGGACTCTGGGGTCAGAAGGCCTGGGGCCCAGGGTCTGCTCTAGCAGCACCGAGCATGTCCTCTTAGGGAGCATATGTGAACTCTCAAAATCTCAGATTCCTTATGTTTAGTTGTTGAAATACTATGAGTGCCTTCCTCTGGCAGGTCCATCTTAAGGTCTCTCAACTGCAGCATGGTTGACATTTAGGGCTTGGTAGATCTTTGCAGAGGCTACCCTGCATGTTGGAGGATGTTTGCAGCATCCCTGATCTGTACCCACTGGATGCCGGTAGCACCTTTCACCCCCAAGTTGTGACAAACAAAATTGTTTCCAGACATCTCCAGATGTGCTCTGGGAGTGAAAGTTGGCCCCAGGTGAAAAGCGGTGGCCTAGAGAAAACACATAGAACAGTTTCCTAATAATTTACTAATGGCTCAAAAATATTAATAGGGTCTCACTCAGTTGCTCATTTCCTATCTCTAAATAAAATACAAAATAGGGTTGGGAATATGACTCAGTGGTTGAGTGCCCCTGAGTTCAGTCCCCAGTACACCGCCAAAAAAAAAAAAAAAAAGAAAACTTGAATAAAATTACTTTCAGGCTGTCTATATAAGGTGTCTGTGAAACATAAACGAATCTTCTCTTTTGACCTGCATCCCATCCTCAAGATATCTCATTATGTGTGTTCAGTGTTCTGAAGTCCAACATCTAAAACACTTGTGTCCCGTGCACTTCAGATATGGGTTCTCAGCTTGCAGATACCTGGCCAATGGTAGAAATTAGGGATGAAGTAGTTCTTCTGCCCTGTGTCTGACTTTCAGACACCCCCAAGAGCTGCCCCAGCCCTTCAAGGCCACCGCCATCTTCCGGGTTGAGGATCTTCTGTCTTCCAGGACTGAGGTCATTTCAGGCAACTGAACTGAGACTCAAACCAGACCGTACTGGGGAGTCCCCCAGCCCAAGTATCCCAGTTAATTGAGGTGTGACTAAAGCTCATCATGACTCCTTTTCAGGTTTTACAAGCCAGGTTTGTCTTCCAAGTCAAGCTCTTGGGGTGATGGACCGGTGAGGTCACCTGCTTCTCCTCTGACTCCCATGACCTGCTGGGGCTTGTGAGGACTTTACCATCTGGCCCTAGTTGCTTGGGTCTGACACAGGCAGGGCCCTGCCCTTGCATGGAGACTTTGTTTACACTCTCTGTTGAAGTGTCTAACTCTGTGGGGAAGGAAGGAAGAGGGAGCTGTCATTTAATGTGCATCTACTGTATACCCTAGAGAGCCACAGGCTAGTCCTCTCCCTCACCACTCAAACACATAATCCTGCAAGAGTAAGTTACTCCCATTCTACATGCAAGGAAACTGAGGCCCAGATAGAGCAAGTGGCCCCCTTAAGGTCACATTGGTAAAAAGTGTCAGAGCTAGACTTTATACCTAGGTGTAAGAGAAACGTAGATTCTCTTTAATTAGTCCAACTTTACCAGTTAACAGCACTAAAGCTTTTGGCCTACACTTGGTTCCTCCCAGCCTTAAAAAGGTGAGGGTCAGGAAGGTGAGGTTCTTGGGTCCTCACCACGCTTCTTCAATCCTCTAGGCTTTATATTCCTGAATGAAACATAAACTTAAGGCTTTTACTTAAAAATGTCAGTTGGAGCCAGGCACGGTGACACATGCCTATAATCCCAGCAACTTGGGAGGCTGAGACAGTAGGATCTCAAGTTCAAAGCCAGCCTCAGCAAAAAAAGTGAGGCGCTAAGCAACTCAGTGAGACCCTGTCTCTAAATAAAATACAAAATAGGGCTGGGGGTGTGGCTCAGTGGTTGAGTGCCCCTGAATTCAATCCCAAGTACCCTCCCCACCAAAAATTGTCTGTCAGGCAACCCTCCTGAACCGCTCACTCCTAAACTAAGAAAATATCAGGTAAGACATTTTGTTTTAAAAGGAACATAATAAGGACAGAGAGGATTGCAGAAGAAAGAGCAGCAATAAGATTTGGAGGCTGCAGAGTAGATGAGCAGGCGGCAGCCTCCTGGAGAGACGGAGAGAAGAGAAAATGGGCCCGTCGTGAGGAAGACTGACTGCGACAGTCCACACAGGGCACTTGCCAAAGCCTGGGATGTTGGCAACCGCTGTCTCTGGAGAGGCCCAAGCTGAGGAGGGTCTCTGAGAACATTGGGTGAAAGTTGTTTCTGAGACCCACCATCAGATCACTCCCCAAATTGTTATAGCAGGCAACTACCTGGCAAAAGACCACAGGTTTATTTTTTGGAGAGAGGAGAGCAGTCTAGAGACCAGAGGATGCCAGGCAAGTTCAACGTCACAGTGTGCCACACTAAAGATGGTGAGTCCATGAACATGCGTATGCTGGGTTTGGAGACCTCAGCCCTCCTATTTCCCTTGGTGCTCTTCAGGGTGGCAGGCCATGGCCTTCTCGAAGAGGATGGGAATTGTGGCCAGAAAAGAGATGTGAAGAGAAACGATGTAACGACGGTGACATGGAGGACTCCTAAGGGAAAGCAGCCAACCAGATCATGTACCGTGCAGCTCGTAGCACCCAAGGCCTCTCCAGACGGGCTCTCGAGCGCTCTTTCCTAAGCATGGGCAAACACGAGGGACTCCAGATGTTCCATAACAGGAAAAATGGAGACTGGCCACATGGGAAAGGGGCCGCCTCAGAGGAAGCAGGGGTCTACATGAGAAGGAAACCTCAGAACAGGGCGCTCCATTCTGCACCACGAACCTGTGAAGACTAACACGAGGCTTTGGAAATTACAATATGATCATAGAAATGAAAACTCCGCAGGAAGACTGGATAATAAAACTGAGGAAGCCTTGTAAGAAGTAGAACAAAAATACAGTGAAATTGGAAATAAGAGGGAAACAAGGGTGCAGGAAGGAGAGCTGAAAACAGAACAGAGGAAGGAGTATCCATGAAATGAAATTCAGAACATTTCCCCAGAACTGAAGTGGGAGGACTTTTAGACTGAAAGGGTTCACCGGGTTCCCAGCACAATGGTTCCCAGCACACCTGGACACATCATTAGGGAACTTCAAACCTTGGAAATATCACAAGGCTGCAAAGGCTCCCAGAGATAAAAGGTAGATCATGAAATAATGACCAGGACTCAGAATAGCTCCAGATGTCTCACCTACGGCGCTGGGAACTCAAAAGGCATTGAGCAATGCCTTTAAGATATTAAGGAAAATCAGTTTCGACCTAGAATTCTATATCCAGTACAACTAACTTTAAGTGAAGGGTCGAATAAAGATATTTTGAGATAGGCAAGATTTCAAAGAATTTGTTTCCTTCGTGTTTCTTTTCTCAGGGAGCTAGCAGAAGTGGTATTATTCCAAAATAAGGAGTCAACCAGAAGAGGGAGACCTGAGATACAGGGAAGATGGGGGAGGCGAGGAGGATGCCCAGAGTCAGGTGAGGGGACCTCAGGGCGCACACTGATGCAGGAGCGGAAGCTGGCGGGGTGTGTGCTGTTCTGCGCCTCCAGTGAGAGTTTAGATAACTGGCAGGATGAGAGGTTAAATTAGTGTAAGTTTGTTGGAACTAAGCAAACAGGAAAATGACTGTTATTAACTCGAGATAGGGGACAATAAAAAAAATGTGCTTGAAAGGAAAAGTGGCTCCGTCCCAAGCAAGATGTTTGCTGAATGAAAATAATGCAAATGCTGAAGATTGCTTCCCCCAAATACGCTGTGTCAATTAAGAGGATGGGAAGGTAGGAAAGGGGCATGTGTATGGTGTAGGGGCTGGGAAGCGAGCAGAGCAAATCCCTAACTTCAGAGGGAGAAATGAATAAATAATGCCTAACTGTAAAGACCAAGAAGCAGCAATTTATGCATAATATCTATTAGAGACATAGAGGTAGATACCCAAGGGATTGGCCGAGGGCTGGGGAGGAAGCTCAGTGGTAGGACACTTGTCTAGTATGCATGAGGCCCTTAGCACTAGAGAAAAAGAGCACAAGAGAGAAGGAAGGAAGGAAGGGAGGGAGGGAGGAAGGAAGGAAGGAAGGAAGGAAGGAAGGAAGGAAGGAAGGAAGGAAGGAAGGAAGGAACTGAATCCATTGAAAATGATTCCCTTTGGGGGTGTTAGGGAAATAGGGTTGTTGAACATCTCTATTATAGCAAACCTTGTACTATGTTAGATTAATAAACTGTGTTCACATATAACTAATAAAAACTAGACAGTAAAAGCTGGCTGTCTTTAGGATCTTGTTTGAAGATAAACTTCTTTTTATGGAGTGTGGGGAAGAGAAGGCAGACCCGGGAGGCTGATCAGACCTGGGAATCTGATCATGTGTGTCTCTCTTGTCAAAATTCTTCAAGCTGTACACATACAGTTTGTTTACTTTTATGAATGTATTTTTTTTATTTCCACAAAAATGTACTTAAAATATATTCCATTTCAGCAGTGTTGGGTACAAATTGTACACTTCCCAGTAATATTCTACAAAATAAAAATCAAGTCCCCTGGCATGCCAGTTGGTGGGGATTTGTTCTTCTTTGGTTTCCCTTCTAGGGTTTCTGAACATGGCCCGGTGATGCTAGCTTAGTCTATAGGTCAGCCGCAGAGGGACTGGTCCCCGTGGCCAGCTTCTGCCTGTCTGGATCAGGTCTTGCCATTCTGAATGGACTCTTGCAGGCTGTTGTCACGGTCTCCTTACCAGCCCCCAGCATAGACCCGGCAACATCAGCGCTGCCTAATACCAAGGGAGGGGCTGGCAGGACGGAGCTCATAGAACAGGCCCTGCCCATGACCTGTCCACACCTATCCCCCATCTTCTTTCCACTTGACACTCCTCCGACAGGCTCTTCACCACATCTTACTGTCAATCGGCGGGTAACAAACAGCCTGAGCCACAGTTTTCACACTGTAGTTTTAAAGTGCCCATTTGGGGAATACGCTCAGGGCAGCACCTCTAGCTCTGTATCCTCCCAGGTCCTTCTCTGAAACTCCCATGTCCAGCGAGAAGAATTAGAAGGCACAAAATGAAAACTTCCATCAAAAACAAAACCCCTCTGGGGCTGGGGTTGTGGCCCAGTGGTACAGTGCTTTGCCTCTCATGTGTGAGGTACTGGGTTCAATCCTCAGCACCACATAAAGATAGAAAAACAAGATACCTTCTACAACTAAAAAATATATATATATTTAAAAACAAAACACCTCTGTACCTGGAGTCCCTGTGCCATGTTCAAGACAAGGATGTAAGGCCCTCCCCACTCCTACCTGTTTCTTCTGGTAAATCCCAGTCTCCACCATCACCATTGTCTTGAAATGAAAGGCTGTGGCAGATGCATTTTTTTGTTATTATGGAGAACGGTTTCTCTTTTCCCAAACTTCCCAATGTTACGTTTTAACTTTTCACATGCATGACCCAAAGGCCCACTAGACTATTTTCACTAAATCCAAAGAGCAGAAGAAGCCCCTCATGACTGTTACTTTTGCTTCCAGACACTGAAAATTGCCAGCAATTTCCAAACAAGCTTCTCTGTTCTCAGAAACCCCAGGTCTCAGTAGTTGATCTCCCTACAGGTGAATGGCCAGTGTTCAGATGCTGCTAAGTGAAAAGGGGAGACAGTGGAATTGATTATCCAGTGTAAGTAAGGGCTCACAGGGGAGAAAGCTACATCTCTGGCTTTCCTACCTAGAATAGCCATCCTGTTCTGGACACCGGGGCTGAATGTAAGGTAGGGACCCGATAAGTCTCATATCTGGCCATGTTTCCCTCTCCCCAGCACCAGTCAGGAAGCTCAGAGCCAGGTTTGTGGTGCCTCTTGTCAGGAAGCAAGTCCTAACCTCATACTTACTCACAATCTGACTTTCCTTGCCCTTATTCTCCCCCTTTGTCTCATTTTCTGACTTTTATTTTATGTATTTTACTTTGTTGTGTTCATTTTTATAAGCCATAAAATCCCTTTTAAAGATAAATAGTGTTTTTAAAATGGAATAAAATTACAATATGATAGAACTGTAGATAAACAGCAGAAGGCAACTTGGGAAAAGGATAATTATATTAGGGTGGTAGGATATGGGTAATATTTATTTTCCTTTTCATATGTACATTAATATTAGAAAGGAATAAGAATCATTTCTAGTGTTTTTTGTGATTAAAACATATTTATATTAGAAAATGTAGGAAAGATAGAAAAATAAGAAGGTGAAAATTAATACCATTTATCATCCAACTCTAGAAGATTCAGTATGGTATATTTCTTTCGGCTCTTTCTAAAGATACATATGTGTATATTTGTAAACTATGTACGTTTTCTGAGTTTAAATTATTTCTATTTCTTTGTAAACTAATTTTCGTGTAACAAACAATAGGTTTCAGACATTTCCCCTTCTACGTAGTGTTTTGCACATTTTCTTTCCTTTTCGTTTTTTGAGGTGCTGAGGATCGAACCCAGCTCCTTGTGCATACTAGGCAAGTGCTTTATAATTGCTGATCCCCAGCCCTGCACCAACATTTTAAATTGTATGAGTTGTATCTTTATTCAAAAATAATACCCGTGTACCATATTTCTTTAGGAAATCCTCCTTTGTTGGACATTTAGGTTATTCCCTTTTAGTGCTTACTTTCTGCGTTTGTTTAGAAGGGCAAAAAGCCAACTTTGCTAAAATGTATTTCTTTTTCTGAAATTCTTTTGGTTTTTCATTACAGTGATCTCTGGCTCATCATCCAGCTCGAAGTATGACCCCGAGATCCTGAAAGCCGAGATTGCCACTGCAAAATCCCGGGTAGGGCCTCTTCTGCCATGCTGCAGGTCACCAAAGCCTGGGACCACTAGACCAGAGTAGATGCTTCATCCAGGCCAGGGCAGCAGTGCTGACTGGCCAGGCCCCAGATAATAACAACAGAGCAGGGGTTGTGGTATGGATGATGGTCATAACAGCTACCATCTCACAACAGTCGCCATACACCCGACCTAGTGCTGACCAGTTCATCGCAAGTCCTCTCTGGTCCTCGCAGCAGCCCCATGCAGTAACCAGTGTCATGTACATCTTAAAGATGAACAACAAGGCTGACGGGAGCTGAGAAACTGGCCCTGGGGCCCAAGAGACTCAGGTCTTAGACCAAAGTTCTTATTATTCCCTACTCTCTTCCTAGCTGTTGCATGTTCTCTCTTATTTAATTCATGACCACCTTAGCTCCATGTTGCCAGGCCTTCAGGTAATTTTGGAAAGGAACTGTGTATCCAGGCTTCTTCTAGCAAATACCTCACTATTTGATTATTAGCAACCCATTTGCAAAGTTTAATTCCTGTGCAGGCAGTCAGCCCTCCTATTGGCTGGGCCTGGCTCTGGGGCGTGTCTCACCTCTGATGTTCCTCTGTTGCCTCTCACCTCCACTGTCTGCTACCTCACACACAACCCGGGGAAGTGCCATCCTCATCCATTAGAGCAAGAAAGAGAGCCTCAGAATGGCCCAGTAGCTTGAGAGAGGTCTCACTGCTAACAACTGGGGAGACCCAGCTCTCTCTGAGGTCAGGTGGCCAGCTCCTGACTACTTCCTGTCTCCCTGGAGCAAGGACTGGCTGGGCAGGACCTAAGGAAACTGGCTGGGATGTTTGACTGAATGGGCAGCTGCAGAGACAAGACCCACATTGGTGAGGGAAGGGTGTTGTGATCTGTATGGCCCAAGGGGTGTGGCCCAAGTCATTGTGCAGGAGCAGCAAGGTGCTGTGGGTTCCCCTTCTAGACCTGCAGCTCTCTGTCAGCTTCTGATCCAGCCCTTGTGTGGTCTTCTGTCATCCAGGTCAACAAGCTGAAGAGAGAGATGGTTCACCTGCAGCACGAGCTACAGTTTAAAGAGCGCGGTTTTCAGACCCTGAAGAAGTAAGTCCAGCCAGCGGTGCAGAGCATGGGGTGGCCCCCCCTCCTCAGCTGCCTTCACCTCCTCTGTCTCTCTCCTTTAGATCCCTTCCTCACCTCTCAAAATGAGCTCTTTAACTATTCTGTTCAAGTTCTTTTCCAATGTCATTGACCGACAATATGGACCCCAGGTAGGAAAGGAGAATCACTTTAGATCATAGGACTCTCATCATCCTCAGAACTCCTGGAGCCACAAAAGTCTGTTCCGTTCAGCTAAGTCTTACTATCCAGGCTCCGAAGCCAGCGTTGCTGAGCACTCCGGTGCACACGCCTCAGCTTCTCTGGCAGACCACTAGAGTCTCATGCACACGAACACACAACCCCTTTAATTCCGTGACCCTTAACCTGAGCCACAACTTCACCTAGTGCCCCACTGAAGGAACGGGGACGTCTTCCAGAAATAGACAAATTACTAGAGAAGTTACACCATGCCACGTGCATGGCCCTTCACGGGGGCCTTACGGAGTTCCCAGGATCACTTGACCAGATGTCATATTTGCTTTTAGAAGCTGCCAGGCAGCAAAGTAAGATGGAGATGTTTTGGCTCTTACGGGCAGTGTGTTCACTGTCACAACGGTGATTGTGCCAGCTAAGCTTTGTCAAGCAGTTACTCTGTGCCAGAGATGCCTTCAGTGTTCCTGCGTGGGTAAACTCCTTCCCTCCTCACAGCAACTCTGTGAGAAATTTTCTTTTAGTTAACCCCCTATATACATGAGGAAACTGAGTCACATAGCAAGTGCACAGTAAATGCTAGCTTGTTATGTTAACCACAACATGTGACCAGGACCTGGTGGTTGAACTGTGCTCAGTGTATCTGATGGGCTCACCACAAAGGGGCTCCTCACTGATGCACCTGGCATGACACCAGATCTCTACCTTCTAAGAGACCTGTCACTCAGAGTCCCAGGAAGGCCACACCATCTACGGACAGCTCTTTCTCTAGTCTTTTGCTTTTGGTCTCTCCCAGACTGAACCTTTTCCTCATCTCGTGAGTTCTCAAATCCACAGTCACAATTCTTTTGCCACCACCCCAGCCTTTGGATGTCCTCTAAAAGTCCTATTCCATGAACTGTGAACCTTAGTGGGGGGTTTGGTTATTTCACATTCATATCCTCCCATTGCACAAGCCCCCACCACCTGGAGGGCCACCTTGAATCCAGTACAACACATGTGGTAAAAGCTGTGACCTTGTCCAAAGTATATCCTGTAAGATAAATTGGGTATGTTTTTTGTTTGACAAATTGTTACACATTTTAGCTTTTCCGTTTGTTTATGGGTGTTATTTATGTATATATTTATTTGTATACATACATGTGCCAATCATATCTCTCAAACCAGATTCTAAACTCATTAAGTCCAAAGACTCTGTTTTATGCTTCTTGGGAATCTTCAACAGCACCAAGGACAATCCAGAGCAATACTGTGAGCTTTGAAAAAATTGCTATTTGGGGCCTAATGAGCAGTCCTCACTGTCCTCCACTTTCCGGCCGAGCAGCTTCTGGGCACATAGTTTAAGGGCCACTCGTTCCCACATCATCTAACAGAGCGTGCCCTCCCCTCCCTGCTTCTACAGTCCTCAAGAGCTTCTGGCTAGAGCACCTCCCATTATTCTCCTAGCCCCTGCAAACCTGTTTTACCACTTTGTCTGTCGCCCTGGAGCAGCATTGAAAATTCTTGTTGTTTGGTAAGCTGACACTGAAGGCCCAAAGGCAAGCCTCCTCCTACCCCTCCTTGTGTCTGATATCTGGCCCAGATAAGACTCCTTTGCTGCCCTTGCTCCTGCAGGCAGCGGGGAAGGAGGGGTCTTCTTTCTTGTGCATCTTGGCTGAGGGCTGGGAATGCAGCCTCAGGAGGCAGATGGCCAGGGTTCAAATCCCAGGGAAAAGCGACTTAACCCTTCTGAGCTTTTATGTCTATCAGAAAGAGTTGAGGTTATAGAGATTTAATTAGAAAAATCCCTACCCAGGGCATGAGAGAACCTGGCATGTAGGAAGAGTTTGGTGAGAGGGAGCGGGGTGCCGACCTCTGGCTAGTTGTCCTCTTGGACTTGGGTAGACTTTGCATCTGCCCTGAGCTCGACTCTGGGCTGAGGAGCCCCTTTCATTCTGGCCATCTGGTCTTATTCTTCTTACCTCTTACGAACATTTTTGATACTGCCCTTTTTTAGATGGAGGTACAGGGTTGGAAGTATGCCCAGGGCCACCTATCCAGCAAGCATCGAGCTGGGACCAGAACCCAGGACTACTGGATTTTGTTTTTCTTCTGGTGCTAGGGAAATGCTAAGCACTCCATGTCCAGGGCTATTGGATTATTATAACTATTTGAGTGTGTGTGTGTGTGTGTGTGTGTTGATACTGTATGGACTGTTGGGTTTTAAAGCTTGTGTCTTGATGCCTCCCTTGGTGCGTTATCCCTGAGAGCCCCCTCCCCATGCCTAGGAAACATAAGTCTTCCATCTCCCTTTGAGTGTTTTAGGGTCCAGTGGGGACCTCCCCACTGGGTCATACCCACTCTCAGCTGAGCATGGGGGAAGGTAGATCTCATCCCTCAGGAGTGTCCTAGGAGTTTCCCTCTGGTCACTTTGACCAGATGTCATTTTCACTCCTAGAGGCTGACGTGCAGCCCAACAGGACACAGCTCTTTCGTTTCCTAAGCATGGTTGTGTTGGATTCATGATGGCAATGGTACCAGCTAAGATGTGTTCGGCAGTTACCATCCCCTACGAATCTATTTGTTTGACTCAGTGTCGATGACCCCATCTTTAAAAATAAAGGAGAAAGGTTGGAAAGGATTGAAGGAAACCTCTTAGAGGAACCTGAAAAGGAAAAAGTCTGAACACAGGCTTTGGGATTCAGCTCCCCTGCTCCCGTGATCCCCTGCAAATAGGAAGGGGTTGGGACTTGGCGATTGGCTGGGGTTGGGGGTGGAGCAGGATCTTCCTGCACAGTCACAGAAACTGTCTGTGCCCAGGTAAGAGCTGTCTGGACAAGGCCGGGAATGGTCCTCTGCCATCAGTCTTTGCCCAGCTTCTGTGTGGCTACTGGGTGTGTGAATCTCAGAGAGCCTGAAAGGAAGGACAGCTGCACTTTGGAAATCCTAAAACACATGCGCACCCCCCACCCCAAACACACACACACACACACACACACACAACTTTTCTTTGCCTTTATGGGGGAAAAAAAAGATTCATTCACTGCGTACATAATGGTGACCCTTTGTTCTCCCCCACCCGCTCCCACCCCAGCTCCATCCCGAGAGTGTTCCCTCTCAGAGCTACTTTCTGGAGCCAAATTCCAGAGTCTGGTTGCTAAGGCCCTTGAAGGAATCAGGTAGAGGCTCTGTGCAGCCCAGCAGGCACACCACTTCTGCCCGGTCCTGTGGGGATTCCGAGCCGTTCTCCCCCTGTTGGCAGAGGACAGCTGGGCACAGCCCCCTCCAGACCCTGGCGCTTGGACATGCTGAAGCAAATAGCTGTCCCTGCACCCGCCACTTGCCTCTCTGGCCAGTCGGAGGCAGGACCACCTCCCACCCCAGACCACTTGTTCCCCACTTATTGCTCCGCAGAGCATCTTGGGCAGGATTCTGCCGTGGAAATCGTTCCTACACCAGTTTTTCAGACTGAATCTGAGATGGATCTCAGTGGACCTGGCAGTCCTGCCCAGGCCCCAGTCCTCGAAAGGAATCCACAGGCTATTTTTAGTCGGGAGACATAAACGAGGCTTTGTATTCTCTCCACGGAGGAGGCTGAAGTAACCGCAGGGGAGGCTGTGTGGAGACCACGTTCCCTGCCTCCCTCTCTCCTCCTCCACCCCAGGCCCAGATGATGAGGCCTCGAGACAGGGTGAAAACCAACCTGCTCAGAGCAGTGATTCCCCATTCCAGCTATTTTTAGCCCAGAACAATTTGGCCTCTAGCAGGAAAACAGAGAGGAATGCCTAGGAGGCTTTCTCATCCCGAAATAATGGGCTTGTGGTGTCCCTCAGACTGTAAGACTTCCTCTTCTCCGCCCTCTACTGAAACTGCAGCCCCAGCCTTTGTTGAAAGTGTGAAGCAGTTAAAAGCACTCTCAGATCTGCTCTCAGATCCTTCTCCCGCCGGCCCCCAGCCCTCTTCTCCAGAAGCCCGGACTCCCCCAACCACCATCAACAACAACCATCTGGTTTGGTCTGACCTTTGGAAAACTGTGTGAGGACCTTTAGATTGGAGCCTGTTGGTGGAATACCTGCATGGCACACGTGAGGCCCTGAGATCCATTTCAGCCTTGTAAAAAAATATAGCAAACAAAAAACAAACAAACAAACAAAAAAATTAGCTTAGCTCTAGCTTTATTTTACTTTTTTCCCTTTCTTCTCTTAGACACCTTTTGCCCCCATGCAAACCAATTTGCATCTAGGTCCTGGATAAGCCAGTGAGATCTCTGGGCTCGAGGTGTTTGAACCCCTTTCATTTGTGCAGCACTTCCTAGCTCACCAAAGGATTTGCCACCCTTCACCCCATTTGACATCCCTAACAACTCCTTGTGCACGGGCCAGGCAGATGACGTGCTCTAGACATTTTCAGAGGAGGAAACGGAGACCCTGTGTGATTGGGAGCCGTATCCAAGGTTACTCCACTGGGAGTTTTGATCCTGTGATTCAACACACATATAATTATCAAGGACGGTGCTTCTTGAACAGGGGTGATTTTGGCTCCCTCCCCCAGGAGACTGTAGGCAATGTATGGAGACATGCACGTGGAAGCATAGGGAGGCCGTAAACAGAGGAGGGGTTGGTGGTCAAGTTTATCAAGTGGGTGGAGATCAAGATACCCAGATTGAAACCATCCTGTGCCAGAGGATGAAACTAATCAAAGACGCTCAGCTCTTTTCCCAAGCCGTGCAGAGTCAAGACAGGAATGCTCCTGTAGGAAATGATCATTAAGGACAGAAAGAGTGCAGTGTCACCGCTCTGAGCCTGGTATCCGGGCCTCCGCCTTCCCTGCCTAGAGGACCAGGGAGGGGATCCAGAGGCTCCCTGTGAGGGCCGATGCTTAGGACTCTTGGTTTCAAAAGCAGCTTATTTCTGCAGCCACCTTCTGTGGGACATTTGTGATTTAGCAGGGACCTTCCGCGCCACACCCCACAAGTGGGACCTGAAGAGGAAGGGCATGCAGGACAGAGAGGAGACTGCTTGGGGAATTGAAGTACTGGCCTGCACTTCCCCTGGGGAAACCTGTCCCTCCTGGGTGTGACCTTTTCCATCACCTCTCTTCTAGAATCGATAAGAAAATGTCTGATGCCCAGGGCAGCTACAAACTGGATGAAGCTCAGGCTGTCTTGAGAGAAACCAAAGCCATCAAGAAGGCCATCACCTGTGGGGAAAAGGAAAAGCAAGATCTCCTTAAGGTACGTTCATTCCCAGTCACATGGTCCCAGTTCAATCCTCCTCGTACCCCTGCATGCACATTCTGCCCACATTCCCTCGGGACCACTGCCCTCTTTTTACTCCTTGCCAAAAATCCAGACTGCGAAATGCTCTCTGAAACTTTTGACCGCCAACATGATGCCCCCATGGGAAATTCCACACCTGACCTGTGGTGGAACACAGGTGCACAGAAGGTCTCCTATGAGGTCACCTCCTGGCTGTGCACATAAGCCATGTGGACAACAGTTTCCTGTTTAGACTTGGGTCCCTTCCTGAGATAGCTCATGGTGTGTATGCAGATATTCCAGCATCTGTAAAGATCCAAGTCTGAAACAATTCCTGTCCCAGGCATTTCAGACAAGAGCAACTTGACCTTGAGTAGTCTTCTTGGAGTTTGGTCCCATTTTATAGAGGAAAGATTGGAGGCTTCAGGGTACTAGATGGCTGACCTGGGGCCACATAGGGTCAGTGGCAAAGCTGAGGTGAACACTGTCAGGCATACCCCAAAGGCCATATCCTTGCCCCTAGCTCTGGCCACTGGGTTTATCGTTCAGTGAAGCAAATGGAAGGAGATGGTTTCAGCATCGATAACCTCAACATCAGGATGTAGTATCTCTGTAATCATTTTGTGTATGTGTGTTCTCACTGTGTGCTGGGAACTGAACACAGGAGAAGAGTTATTCTCTACCATGCCAGGCAGCTGTGCCAAGGACTTTGCATGCATTGGTGCAATGGGCCTGACCTGTCTTCTATATCAACTCTGCTTTTATTTGATTCTACAGATAAGGACTGCAGGACTCAGTACAACGGATAGAGCCAGGCTTCAAACCCCTGAGCACCTGACTCAAAAGCGTATTTGCTTAACCCCTGGGCATACCACCTCCCCACACAGGAACCACCCTGACCTCAGAGATCTCTATCATGGTTGCCATTGGCAGATTAAAAGTCCAAGACCCAGAGCCGCTGGCTGCAAGTTGCTCAGTAAAGGAAGCTTTATGCTCTAAGACAGAGTATTTGCACAACTCCTGCCCGAGACAGCAGCCCAGTGTAAACATTCAGACAGGGTGCTCCTGGACAGCAAGGAGCATTCCTGTTGTGATTAGCAGTTAAGAACACAGAGCAACAAAGTCAAGTCCAAATCCTGGCTTTGACCATTGCCAGCTTCTCCTTGATAAAAGGGGGAATAATCACAAGTCATTCCTGAAAGAGCTATTGTCAGGATTCAGTAAAACTGACCGTTGCTGAGTATTGTCTATACCACATTTCACGCTGTCATCAGTTTAATCAATGTGACTGCCTTGTGAGGTAGCACCTAGGGTCATTCCCATCTTACAGGAAAGGAAGTTGAGGCACAGGCAAGTTAATCATCCAGCTTAGATGGCACAGCTAGGAAGATACAGCAGGGATTGTGCCCTGGGCTGAGCCCACATGCACCCTGCTGTCTCCATGTAAAAGGTCCTGTAAGTGCCCACTCACTCGGAGCCCTCTGCATGGCATCAGCGGGGTGTCAGGGGTGAGCACAGATTCCTAGATTAGAGAAGATGCCAAGGAAAACCCACAGTGCCTGGCAGACCTGGAAGATGCATGACTAACCTACCCACTGTCCCCCTCTGCCTGCAGAGCCTCACCATGCTCAAGGACGGCTTCTGCACCGACAGAGGGTCTCACTCCGACCTGTGGTCCAGCAGCAGCTCTCTGGAGAGCTCAGGTTTCCCACTGCCAAAACAGTACTTGGACGTGAGCTCCCAGACGGACATCTCGGGGAGTGTGAGTAGGCGGGTCCCACAGGAGGGCTTGCAGGCAGGTGCCCTCTGCTTGCTTTCACTGGCTGCCAACTCCACCCTGGGGAGCGTCTTTCTCACAGCTCCTGGCCCCAGAGCTCTGGCGGGTGGGGCAGGGAAGCACCAGCTCAGGACTCCTCCACTCTGACATTTCCTGGCCAGGTGCTTATGCCTCTAGACCTGCATGGAAAACACTTTTAAAGGACAAAGTGTCTTCCTCTGGTTTCTGTCATACTGTGCGCAGCTCCATTCAGCTGGAAGGGAGAGGATATTTCCCTCCTGTTAGTCCCAAAGCTATGTGTGCCGCTTTCATACAGCTGTGTGGCTCCTAATTAAAGCGCAGTCCCAGTGGGTCATGAGTAGTGAAGTGCTGTTCTGATGGGGGTCATGGGTAGCGCCAACCCATGTGAGCTGTAACTTTTGGAGAGTTTCACTAGAGCAGACGACATAGCCAGACTGCCTCCAGCTTCTGCACTAAAGACTACTCCTGTCAGATGTCAGAGGCATCCTCCAGCTTGGGAAGAGAAGCTGTATCATGTGTTGTCTGGGGAACCTTGTAGCTTCTTAATGGCTCTTGACAGAGGAGCACAGGGCATGGAGCTTTCCCTCCTTCCCCACACCATCTACATGTCCCTGTGCCTCCTAAATCCTAGGACCTTCTCCATGCGCAGTCAGGATTGAGTCCTGACTGCAGCCTGAGTTTTATACTGCCCCCTTCCCAGCACCCCAGGATGGCTTTCTTATGGATTTCCTGTCTCTCTCTTTTCTCACCTGCTACCTCTCCTGCCTCCATTGGCTCTGAGCCATTTGGGGCTTCTAGACCCTCGGCCTCTCTTCTTCAAGGGATGGATGTCAGTTTGAGACTGTTTCCATGATCTGAAGGAAGAGAAGTATTTTTTGCTTAACTAGCTTCCCTGCCGTCCACAAGCCAGCCCAATAATCGAGGGCTGTTCTTTGCTCTGCCCACACAAGCTGTCAAGTCCTTCCCGAGCTCTTGAAACATAGCTCAGCAGCGGCCACAATAACTGTGTAACTCCCGACTCTGCTCTCGCCCTCTAGTTCGGCACCAGCGGCAACAATCAATTGGCAGAAAAGGTCAGACTGCGTCTTCGATATGAAGAGGCTAAGAGAAGGTAACTCCAGGCTGGTGCTAGGGCTGGGGGGGTTCCTACAGTCATATGGTGGGGGTCTGCTCCGAGCCCAGCTTTTTGCATTCCCACCCTGTTTAACCCTCCCCCAAATTACGAAGGTAGGTAGTATAGTCCTCTTATGTTAATCCTCTGGAATTTAGAGAGGCAATGCCTTGCTCAGGACACTGCGTAGAGTATGGAACTATGCTTTGAACCCAAAATCTGCTTAACCTCAAAGATGACTTATCTTTCTCCTTCTTGTGTTGGTTTCTGTAATCAAAGTTTTCTGATGATCCTGGAAGCAGTTTGGTTTGGAGGATCCACAGGTTTGTTTGGTCATTTTTGGCAATAGGCTAAGAGGACTACAGACACTATCCACTACAACATCTCCTGCATGACCGTGAGCTGGCTATGCTTTTCAACTGCGTTTCAACTCCATAAAGATGTGGCTTCATGGAATCCAAAGCGGCTGGGTTGCACTTCCACAAATAAAATAATAATCAAACCTGGCATTTTTAGAGCATCTGTTAATAGGCATAAACAGATTGCTTGTTGTACTAAAACTTCTTATTTGTTTATTTATTGTAGTACTGGAGATTGAACCCAGGGGCTCTTCTACCACCGAGCCATGTCCCCAAGCCATTTTTGTTTTTTATTTTGAGACAGTCTCACTAAGTTGCAGAGACTCGCCTTGAACTTGATCCTCTTGCCTGCATTTCCCAAGTCGCTGGGATTATAGGCATGTGCCACTGCACCCAGCAATATTAAAACATTTGTGCATCTATTATCTTATTTAATCTTAAAAGCAACCTCATACCATAGCTTCTATGTTATTATTTCCATTTTTAGAGGGGACAGAGTTTAGCAATATGTTTCATGGCTTTTCCAGGTTGTACAGTTGGAATTGGAACCCTAGACATTCTGGTTTCAAGTTCATGATCTTCCTATACACTGAGTCAGCCCTACTGGGAAAGAACCCCCTGAGCATCTGCTGATGAATGAATCCAGGCGTATTATAGCCATTCCTCCATGGACTAAGTTGCCTGGCCCATGAACTCTCTCAGCCAGGCTGGGTAGAGTGTGGTGATACCCAGTTCTGCTCTCCCAACCCTCCGTTAGCACCAGATTCTCTGCAGCTATGACGGAAATCTGATAGAAACCAGAGGAAGAAGCAAAAGGGGAATTTATTGTCTTATCTAACTCCAAAATCCTGGGGGAATTCAGGCTTAGCTGGATCCAGGGACTCAATTAATGTTACATAGATTCCGTCTCTATTTTCTCCACCTCATTGTCTTTGTTTTGGCTTCATTTCAAACAGGTTTTTCTCTCAAGGTGACAAGACGACCCTCAACAATTCTAAGCTTACATACAACCAGGGTAGCAACCCCAGCAGAAACGGGACCTACCTTTCCCAACAATTTTAATGAGTCTCAAAGGCTGGGCTGTAGCTCAGTGGCAAAAGTGCTTGTCTTGCCTGTTCAGGGCCCTGGGTTGAGTCCCCAGACCCACAAAATAACTGAGATTCACTGACAGTTTTGGATGAACCAATCACTGATGCAGGGCTGGTAGGGAGGGTGGGAGCAGGAGGATTAGAATTCTATGAAGGTCCATGCATGGGTCATATGCTCATGCTGGAAGGAGGCTGAGGTCAGCTTTGGGGGAACCAAGCAACTTAAAAGTATGGGAGGAGAGGTTTTCCATAGGCACACCCTGGTGTTGTTAGCAAAAAAAGGAAGAATTGGATAATGGTCAGGTGGAGGGAAGCAGATGCCTTTGAACTGTTTCCCCTTCCCACTAGGGATTCAGCAAAACAGCAGAACGTGTGTGTTTGGACAGTCACTTGTCCCCTCTGAAGGGGGCCACTCTGAACCTTGGATCTATTCCAGCTTGCAGTAGTGCCTGTCCTACATAACCAGTCCTGGAGAGACTAAAGCACTGAAGTGTTCCCTCTGGGGTCAAGCCATTAAAATTATCACAGAGATTCCTGGCTCATCTGAGTTTACCCAGCTTCTTGCCTCCGCCTCCGCCTCCACCCAAAGCTAGATTTGGTGTAAAGGACAGAAGAGGTTGCCGAGTAGGAAAGCAGGGGCTGCAGGATTTGTGAAGGAAGGGAGGTAGCCATAGTGAATGGAATGTCTGATGATCGTCACACGTCGGGTTTTGTCAAGTGTGTTTCGAAGTTGAGACGCTGACAGTTTCCATCAGATTTTCCAGAGGATGAGTTACCCTGATTTTAAGCAGCAATGGCATAGGGATAGCACCCTAGAAAGTACACCCAGGAAAGCGTCCGTCACTCCTCAGTGTCCTGCTTAGAGTCTGGCTGTCAGACCTTTTGATGCCATCCTCAGAGCTGCTCAGAGTCCTGGAGATAGCAGCTATGAAGTTGCCCCATAGCTAACCTTCATGGATTGCTGTATATATCAATGTGAAACCGAATGGTAAACCGTAAGGATTCTTACTGGGAAACTTGACTGGGGAAGGAACAAACCTCGATGTGTTTTTCTGTATGGAGTTTTTGCTACTCATGACAAGGAGTCTTGTCTCCAACGATGTTTTGGTACGATGAGTTCAACCACACTGACCACAGATCAGACTGAGCCGCAGGCCATAGGTCTCAGCTCTCAACAAGTATTGGCCATGTTTGTGATTTGCAGTCTCAGGTGAGCCGTCAGGCATATGTCCAGTGAGGTTAACAACTCCTCTGTGTCTGCCCTGATGGTATGGGGTAAGGCCGAGATGTGAGGCCCAGACGTGATTTGAATAGGTCAAGTCTAAAGGATCATGGCATAATTACTTTCAGGTATTTCTAGCAGTACTCTTCATTACACTGGGAATCTTATTTTAGTGATAATAATTCCTCATGTCTACATAATACTTGACAATATCTAAAGAGATCTTACTGCTTCTTTTTTGTAACCCACCTTGTAGGTACCGTCATTATCCCCACCTTACAGACGAGGATCCTGAGTCTTAGAGAAGTTAAGATGCAAGGCTGCTGATTTCTTCCCTTAGCATTTATTAAGTGCCTTCAGTTTACCAGGGACCAAATGTGACACCAAAATGTTTTTTTGTTTGTTTGTTTCTTTGTGGGTGATGCTGAGGATTAAACCCAGGGCTTCCCACATACAAAGCATGTGCTCAACCACCAAGCTGCACCCCCGGCCCCACCTTCTTTCACAAAGGCCAGAGGCAGGATTCCACTCAAACCATCTGAACCCCCAAATGCATGGCTTTTCAATAGCACCACCACCACTCTCTGGACTGAGAACACATGGTTAGTCACCAAGACCCCAGTTGTCCACAACTGTCATTGGCAGAGCGTGTACTGTGTGGCAGGCACCTTGCAGACATTACTGCTGATCCTCACAATCCAAAGGATGAGTGATTGTTTTTCTTATCTTCAGGTCTTGGGGAGTTTACCTAGTGTTACATAACTAATAAGTGGTCCAACCAGGTAATAACAAGAGTAGCAACAGAAACATTTATTGAGGGCTTACTGTGTGCCAAATACTGTGCTTTGAGGGTTTATGGGTTGTCATAAAATCTTGAACCACAACCTCATAAGGAAGGAGCTTTATTTATTCCCTTCAGAGAGGTGAACAATTGGCCCAGGGTCACATAGCTCATGGAAAGAGGTTATTGCCTGGTATTGGATCCAAGTCTCTCATGTAGCAGGCTTGGGGGCGTTGCCTAGCTCATGTCTGTACCCTAGAGACGACTTCATGGTTGGGACATGATAGGCACCCACGTGTGTTTGTTAGATAAAAAATGTGTTTCCTAGAAATTGATCAAAAGGAAGACTGTAACTGCCAAAGAGTGCTCTGAGGGTCTCCTGGCCCCTGGTTCCTTCTGTCTGTAGAAGCACAGTCTCCTTCCCTGTCCCCACAGTGCCTTTGTTCACACCAGTGGATCTCCCCTTCTCCACCCCCAGGATCGCCAACCTGAAGATCCAGCTGGCCAAGCTCAACAATGAGGCCTGGCCCGGGGTGCTAGACTCAGAGAGGGACCGGCTGATCCTCATCAACGAGAAGGAGGAGCTGCTGAAGGAGATGCGCTTCATCAGCCCCCGGAAGTGGACCCAGGGGGAGGTGGAACAGTTGGAGATGGCTCGGAAGCGTCTGGAGAAGGACCTGCAGGCAGCCCGGGACACCCAGAGCAAGGCGCTGACAGAGAGGTGGGTCTGGGGCTGGGAAGTATGAACCAGGTGTGTCCCAGGGGCTTGGGTTAGGGAATGTGCCTGTCTGTCCTCTGGCCCAGCAGGGACCAGAGGTGAGGGGCACACCTCGGGCACCTGACTCCTCCATGAGCAGTGTCAGTTTAGGTGTCTTACAGCCTCCACGGTAGCTTATCAGGGAAGGGATTGCCACCCAGCGCACCAGCCACCTGGAGCTCAATCATGTTGCCCAAAGTTTCCTGGCTGGGCACCGCCTTTCAGAAGTGAATCTTCTGATGGAAGTGAGCCCCATAACTCAGAATCCTTGAGGATACTCGTTTTCCAACTTTGTGACAGATTCACATTTCGTATCGTGACCTAAAATACACAAGTTTGGCACAGTGGAGCACATGCTTTCTGTGTCCTCCAATGTCTTCTGTTGGACAATCAGCCCTCGGTATCCATGGCGTCCATATCTATAGATTCAGCCAACTGCAGATTGAAAGGGTGAAGAAAAAACAAATTTTTAAATTATATAACAAAAAATACAAACACACAGTGCAGTGTAACCGCTATTTGAGATTGCATTTACATCGTATTAGTTATTATAATAATCTAAAGATGATTTAAAGTATATAGGAAAATATGTATGTGTTTTATGCAAATACTGCCCCATACACATAAGAAATTTGAACCATGGACTTCAGTATCCAAGTGTGCATGCACATGTGTGTGTGTTGTATGTGAGTCTGCAACCGATCTCCCAGAATACCACGGGATGAATGTATTTAATGTATTTCTTTTCAAGCTTTATGCTGCTTATGGCCCACTAAATTGATTTCACCACATCCTAAGTGACTGCAGTTTGAAGCCCATTGGTGTGTCCGGGTTGTAAACTGTTATGCTTATAGGGATCAACAGGTTGTGGAAGTGCCTGGTGGCAGTCCGCGTCAGACCGTAGTGCACAGAGCCCGCTGTCCACAGCATGTGCCGTCTCCCTGCTCCAGCAGGTGGAAGTATGGGCCCTGGGCTGCCCGAGGTTCCGTATTTTATTTATATTTATACACACACACACACAAATGCACATATTCATTTTTTTGTGGTGCTGGGGGAAGAACCTAGCAGATTTTTGGTAGCATATTTTATTGCAAATTTCCTGCCCTTATGAACTTAGAGTCAAAGTTAGTGATTTTTCTTTTTCTTTTTTTAATGACACATAATATTTGCACATGTTTATGGGGTACGATATGGTAATTAAGTATATGTATATATTGTATAATGACCCAGTCAGGAAAATTGACATTTCTATGTACCCAAACATTTATCATTTCTGTCCTGGGAACCTTCAGACTTTCCTCATTATTTTGAAACACACACACAAAAACTGTTGCAGATGGTAGTTACCCTAAGTTTGGTGTGCAACACTGGACCTGATTCCCTCTATGTAACTTGGGGATCCATTGCCTGACCTCCCTCTGTCCCCAACCAACACTCTTCCCAGCCTCTTGGTCCCACGCCCACCCTGTACCTGTCATTCGCTCCTGGTTTCCACAGATCACCTTTCTGACTTCTACAAATAAGTGAGAACCTTCTTGTATCTGGCTTATTTCACTTACCATGTCCTCCACATCTGTCCATCTTTGCCCCAAATGACAGGATTTTGATCTTTTCTATGGCTGAATAATTTCATTGTGTTAGTGTATATATTTATATCTCATTTTCTTTATCCACTCATGGGCCGTGGATGCCTTGGTTGATTACTTTTGCTCTTGTGAATAGTGCTGCATTAAATATGGGAGTGCAGGTGTCTCTCTGATGTAAGGATGGACATCCTTTGGATGCATACCTACTAGTGGGATTGCTGGATCATACCACGGTGGCTCTGTTTTTAACAGCACTTCCGTACTGTCTTGCATAGTGATTGTATGAATGACATTATCGCCAGTGCTATTTCCTTTCTCTGCATCCTCACCAGTGTTGGATATTTGTTTTTTTTTTTTATCATGACCATTCTATGTGGGGTAAGATAATGTCTCATTGTAGTTTTAATTTGCATTTGCCTAATGGTTAAAAATGTCGAGTGATTTTTGTACATGTTGGCCATTTGTGTATGGGAGAAATTTCTGTTCAGATCATTTGAGGTGTTTTTGTTTGTTTGTTTGTTTTGTACTGGGGATTAAGTGTACAAGGGCACTTAACCACTGAGCCATATCCCCAGCCTTTTTTATTTTTTTCCTTTAAGACGGGGTCTTGCTGAGTTGCTTAGGGCCTAAATTGCTGAAGCAGACTGAACTCGTGATCCTCCTGCCTCTGCGTCCCCAGCTGCTGGGATTACAGGCATGAGCCACCACGCCTGGCTCCCTGGCAGACTTTCTCTTGCAGTACATTAGTCAAAGTTTAAAATAAATCCTCAGATAAATTTGGAGCAACATAATTGACTTCAAGAAGAGCCTTTCTTTAGAAACTCAGAATTGCAATTATCATTTAGACTAGTAAAATATAATAAGTATTTTATAAGCTGAGATTAGCCAGAATACTGATCTAGTATAGTTTAATTTGCAATCATTATGAAGTATACCATATGACAAAGTTTTTATTTAATATGCATTGTATAACCTAAGACAAATATAAAACAATGCTTTAAACCTTAAACTGAAAGTTTGAGATTATCATCGCTGCGTTTTTGGTTTTTGAATGTCACGTGACTTATCTCCTGTGATCTCTGGTTCGGCCTTAGATGTGGATGCACCATGAACCCCTTGAAATTCCAAATGATAATTCACGTTAGGGGTGTGACCAAGGTCTCTTTTCCTGCTTCATTCTGAAGCCTGTTCTTTAGTGCTCTTCCATCTAACAGTGTACCCACTTGCTTATCCAGGACACCTGACTTCTGAAAGGTTTTTCTGCCATCTTCTGTCAGTAGATTCCTCCATACAAATGTTGGTTTTCACCTTTTCCAATACCTGTGCCTCCCCACCTGTGCAAGTGGTATCTCCTTGCTCCTCTGGCTCTGGGACTTTTCCCCTCTCTGGTCTGATAGCATCGTGTCCTGTGTCCATAGAGACAGTTTTGTGAGCTCGTCCCATCTTGGAGTCTTGAGGGCAGTGTTCCCTCTCCTCCGAGGGGTTTCACTCAGAGACTTCTGAAACTAAAAGCCGAGGAACGCGCCTGGATTCCGGTCCCCCGTGGGACGGGTGGTTTGCAGTGCTCCTCCCTCTCCTAGGGCGCCTTCACCATGTTCTATTCTGTTGCTTCTTGTTTTGATAGCATCCCACTCATGCAGCTTTGCTTTTCCTGCCTGTGCTTTTTGGGGTCTTATCCACACAGTCCTTGCCTGTACCAGTGTCTTCAAGTCTTTCCTCAGTGTTTTCTTCTATAACTAGTGATTTTCTAGAGGGGGTGTGTTTGAGGTGATCAGCACATGAATCCCTTTTCCCAGTGGTTATCAGAGGAGGAAGCCCAGTTGTGTCCCCACAGAAGCAGCGTGGGAGTCCTAGGTGTCTACATTTGCTCTCTCCGCATCATCAGGCGAGGGGCCCTTCAGGAGCAAGCAGCTTACAATAGCATCCTAGCAATTGAGTGAGCTCCAGTAGCAGGTGGCTCAGTGCCTGCTAGACCAAGTTGATGAGCCCCTCGTGGCTCAAAGGATCCCTGACGGGTCACTGGTGCCAATCTCTTCCCACCAAGAACATTATCAGGACTACCCAAAGAGATGTTCAAAGTGTATCCACTTCTTCTTCTTCATCCTCCACTAACAGGAATGGATGATTTGCCCTCACCTGTCACTGGGTAAGTGGAACACAGGAGAAAGTATCACATAGTGTGAAGGCAAGTGGCTGGACCAGAGGGTTAATTGAGGCTCTTCCCTGCTATCAAAAATTTTTATTTCCTGAAATTAGGACTAGAGATTGATTCTCTTTAAAACTCCTAAGATAGACTACAGGTAAAAGTGCCTTCTTGTGTTCTATGTTATTTAAAGCTCCCAGGCACCCTGAAAGCAATCCCCCCTTTTACACATGAGGATCAGAGGCTTGTCTGACGTCACTGAGCAGCAGAACTGGCTTCAGAAGCTGGTTGCAGAGCCAATGCCCACTTTAGGCTATTATCCAGTCAGAAGGCCCCAGTTGTGGCCTTCACCCCATCTAGCCACAGTCCATGGCTGCTCTGGAGTAGAGGGTTCAAGTACCAGTCCAGGGAGGCCAGAATCTCCACTCCTCCACCTGCTGAGCAGGCAACGTGGCGGGTCCTGGAGGGCAGGGTCCTCCTGGGGAGATGTGATAATAGGGAAGCCAAAGAGCACAAGGTAGGGAGCCAGGTGTGTCCCAAGAGGAGTCTGGGAAGGGGACCCACAGGAATAGTGGGGACAGTGCTGATGTACCTGTAGCTCTTTGCTTTCAGTTCCTTGCTTATCTGGATTTGTCCTTGTTTGTTTCTCTTCTGTCCTGTGTGTGTGTGTGTGTGTGTGTGTGTCTGTCTGTCTGTCTGTCTTTTAGTGTGTTTTCTGTCTCCCTGTTCACACCCTCCTTCCAATGGATTCAATATGAACCTCACTTCATACAATGGCCTTTCCCATTCAAGGTGCCTCTGAGAACAGGAGTGAACACCCCCAGGTGCCTTTTGGCCACCCATGTCACCTGCCACACCCCATCACAAATCCATCTGAACTGCAGGCTTTCTCACACTCTTGGTGCCAGCCCCACCTCCCTTCTTCCTCACACGCCCCCTCCCCAGTCAGAGCTGGTGTGCAGTCATGCCAGGTGCTCTTTAGAGCGTGGGCTCTGCCCCTGCCCCAGGGACCACTTCTCCAGGCCTGAGATATGGTGCAGGCTCTTGTGATTTTTAAGCAGCACCCCAGGTGCTGAGCTTCAGCGTGTGGGGTTTCCAGTCCCACCTGCTGGATCTTCTGCCTGCTTCCACACTGGATGTGTTCCTGGCCTTCCAGCATGTGCTGGGCATCACACACAGGCCATCTGGCCTGTTAAGCCCAGGCTGCTGGAGGGAAGCCTTGGCACCTGCCCGTGGCTGCCCCTGCCATGCTCAGGAAGCCACTACAGGCCAACTCAGTTCCCTCAGCATCCTGTCCAGGCTCCAATGGGGACCTGCGTTTACTCCCGGAACAGCCTCTGTGGCTCGTTCTGTTAGAATCTGTGAGCCCCACTTCCGCACCCCAGACCTCACACCCATTCTGGACTTTGCTCTCATGGTGAGTCAGGAGATGCCCTAGCGCTGTCCACCCCACCGAGAATTCTGAATTTCATCCAGTCTGGGCTCCATCTGCCCACCCGCTGCCCAGCTCTGCCAGGCAGGACTCTGGAAGAACAACACCAGGGGTTGAGCTTGCCCTGCCCACCGCTCTGGCTATCTCTTTTGTCAGTTTACAGGTAGGTCTGCTTGCCCGTTAACAAGCCCACCCACCTCTCTCCACTCCTCAGTGGTGTCTGAAGACGTCTCTGGCCTTGGCTGCAGGCATGTGTTGGAGGCCCAGCACACTGGGGGAGACAGTGTGGCTTGGTTTTCAATGGAAATGAACCCCACTCCAGGCTCCAGGCTGGGTGAGCTGTGCTCTCGGTGCGCTCCCCAGTTTAGGGATCAGCAGGCCAGCACGATGGCAGGAAAGGAGGAGCAGCCAGCAGTGGCACACCTCTGCCCACAGGGTCCTCAGTGCAGCAAATGAAGTTTGCCTATCTCACTTGGAGGGGGCAAGTGCCTTTCCCTAACCAGCTCCTGTCCATCTCTCATTATTGGCTGAGGTTTCTCTACTGGGGTGTCCACCTGCTGCAAGAAATAGCCCCCACATCTCTGGTGACTAACATGATAGGAATGTGTTTCTTGCTCATGTAATAATATCTCATTGGGCATCCCCAGTAAGCAGCGGCCATTCATGTGGTCATTCAGAACCTAGACCTCTTCCCCTCTGAGGCCACAAGAGTCAGTGACCAGGAGACAGTCCCACTTAACCTTAACCACTTCAGCCTGACACAGGTGACTTTACCTCACCTTCCATAGGCCGGAACTCCATCATGTGCCCCACCCTCCCAGCGGCAAGGGAGTCTGGGAAGTGGCCCTGGGGACCCAGGGGGACACAAACAAGGGTGAACACCAGGAATCAGAGCCACAATGTCACATGCTCAAAGCCTAAATGGGGTGTCTCCTTTTACATTCTGATCTACTCTTCTGTACTTTTCCGTCACGGACCTTGTCATACACTGAATTAATTAGATATTTAAGTATTTCTTACTACCTGTTCTCACCTGCCACAGTAGAAGGGGAGCTCTGTAGGAGCAGAAGCAAGTTCTGTTTCACTCGCTGCTTTATCCCCAGTAGCAAGATCAGCATCTAGTGTGATGTAGGCACTCAGTAAGGTCAGTGGAAGAAGGGGAGGAGGGAGGGAGGGAGGGAAGGAGAAAATAATAATTCAGGGAAGGAAGGAGAAAACAAGGTGAACGAGGAATGCCTGGGTGGGATCCTAACTCTTGCCACTAATTCTGTAGCTCTGTGTCGATTATTTAATTCTGTGAGCCTCAATGTCCTCATATGTAAAGTGGTAAAGATCATTCTTACCATACAAGTATCACCGTGTGACCAAATTGAGGCTGCATCTCAAGGTTCCTAGCACAGGGCCCAACGGGGTCTAGGTAAGTAACACAGCAATCACTCTGCCTGCTGTATATATCCTATATTATAATATAGGTAGAGGCTGTACTTCCCCAAACACTGTAGGAAACTGCTTCCAGAAAGTTCTTGCAGATGCGTCTTTGGGCTGAGTGTGCAGTCCTAAGAGCACATGCTGGTGCTTCTTTTCTGGGAGATGGGGGGACACGGAGAACCGGATCCCTTTGGCACATTCCCATCGTGCTTTCTCTCCCTCCAGGTTAAAGTTAAACAGCAAGAGGAACCAGCTGGTCCGAGAGCTGGAGGAGGCCACCAGGCAGGTAGCAGCTCTACACTCACAACTGAAGAGGTGAGTGGTGGCCCTGGGTAACCGGCCCCCTGGGGATGGCCAGGTGCAGGTGTTCCCAGGTGGCCCAGCTGAGATCTGGCCTTGACTTGTCTTCTCTGGCTCCAATGTAGATGTGTGAAAGCTCAGAAATGGTGGTGAGGGTGGCGGGGACAAGGTCTTTCCCCTCCCTGAGCTGCTCCCACTGAGAGGGCCCCCCCACCCCCCCACCCGCGGTCAGGCACTGGCATGTCTGAAGAGGCCTCTGCTGCCTCCCGCTCTAGAGCAAGAGGCGTCCGGCCTGGCTCAGGAGGGCAGCAGGGCGTCACCAGAATTGATATCAGCATTTTGTGTTTATTAGATTTTTTTTTTTAAACGGTTGCCTTCTTTGTGTAGCAGGTGCTACTGCTTTTCAAATAGCACTTAGGATGTCAGGTTCCCTTTTAAAGTAAATATTTTAAGGTAGAAAAAGGTGAGCTGATTTTAAGAAAAACAGTAAGAAATATTTCAGGTTGGGTTCAAATATGGTACCATATCATGGCCAGCTGCGGAGTTGCACGCCTGTCATCTCAGTGCCTGGGAAGGCGGAGGCAGGAGGATCTCGAGTTCGAGGTCGGCCTCAGCAATTTAGCAAGACCCTGTCTCAGTGTAAATAAAAAGGGCGGGCTGGGATAAAATGCAACCGGGTTCTCCCCCTAGTACCGAAAAAACAAACAAACAAACAAAAACAAAAACCCCAGCATTATGAAAATGCAATGTGGCCGGTAGAGAATTGAGAAATGCATAGGAGGCAAAGTGGACTTTCGGGCATCTCTCTTGGGTTCAAAGTGTGGCCCTGCCACTCTGGTTATGTGGCCTTCTTGGGTGTGTGTTTTCCTCTGGTGAAGGAGGGGTGCAAGGTGGCCGCCAAGCGGGCCCAGTGGGACCACGTGTTCTAAGAGCCCTGCTTCGTTCTCCGACGCTCACACACAGTCCCAACGGCCCACTTCATTAACGTTCTGGGTAGTCACTGTCCCTGTTCTCCCTGTCCCCAGCCTCTCAAGCAGCATGCAGTCCCTGTCCTCGGGCAGCAGCCCTGGTTCCCTCACATCTAGCCGGGGCTCCCTGGCCGCCTGCAGCCTGGACTCCTCCGCCTCGGCCAGCTTCACTGACCTCTACTACGACCCCTTTGAGCAGCTGGACTCGGAGCTGCAGAGCAAGGTGGAGCTTCTGCTCCTGGAAGGCACCACGGGCTTCCGGCCCTCGGGTTGCATCACCACTATCCACGAGGATGAGGTGGCCAAGACCCAGAAGGCAGAGGGAGGTGGCCGCCTGCAGGCCCTGCGCTCCCTGTCTGGCACCCCAAAGTCCATGACCTCCCTGTCCCCACGCTCCTCCCTCTCCTCCCCATCCCCGCCCTGCTCCCCTCTCATTGCTGACCCCCTTCTGACTGGAGATGCCTTTCTGAGCCCGCTGGAGTTTGAAGACCCAGAGCTAAGTGCCACTCTGTGTGAGCTGAGCCTCGGGAGCGGCAACCGGGAGAGATACCGGCTGGAAGGAGCAGAGGGCAAGCCTTTGGGCCAAGGTGAGGAGCGCCATGTCCACGGGGTGGAACCAGGAGTGGGGGCGATGCTTTGCACTCAGGGCCCCTGTGGTGACTGTGGCCAACACTTCCTGTATGCCAGGTCTTCGTATGGTAGATAATTTAGTTATTCAGGAGACACATCAGCTCTGTATGTGCTAGGTCCTGCACCAGGCCTTTCTCTTGGTGAACTTACTCATTCAACAGATGTTTAAGTACTTACTAAAACTGAAGGCCACATCTTGCACTGACAGATGCATTCAGCAGACAGGCCACGTCCCAAACACTGGGCGAGTCCCTCAGTCAGTGGGTAAGACACACAAGTTCCTGTTCTCAGGAAGCTGATTTTTCCTTGGAGACACAGGGGAGAACATGCACCCAGATGAAAGTACGAAGAAGTACATCATGCAGGGCATGTGATAGTGCCTTCAGGCCGGAGAGGGACAGCCAGTTCACACTGGGTTGTAAAGGAAGGTGACCTGGGAGTAGAGTCTTAGATGACAAAAAGGAGCCAGCTGTGAGTCAGTGATAGGGGACCTAAGGCTGAGTTAAGCGGAGGTCCATTAGGAGGAGAAGTTTATCTTTAGCAGCAACTACATAACAATGCACAGTACTTGACATTTATTAAAGATGTACTATACGCTGGTGAAAGAGATTGCTTCTCCTTTGCCCATTTCACAGATGAGGAAACTGAGGTTGAGAGAGGCAACATCGCTTTCCCTCAGTGACCCAGGCAGCAAACAACAAAGCTGGTATTGGGACCCAGGGTTTGCCAATCCCAGAGCCCAAGAGCTTTCTAGCCATGCTCCTTCCCACTTATGATGGGAGGCAGCTCAGTGTTTATATGTGTGACACTCCTGGTGCTTGCCAACCCCACCAATTTCCTTTGGCTCAGGACCTGATGGTCATTACAGAGCAGGTGCCCAGTAAGCCCACCTGGGGCTCCTCATTTTCTTGGCACCCTGTCCCTGCAGCACACATACCCAAAACACAATAGTAGCCATGATGCCTTGACCCAGGTATACAGAATTCAGGGACCATTATGCACATTTACCCATGTTAATCTCACAACTCTGAAGTAGGATTGATATTATCCTCATCTTACAGATGGAAAAGGCAAGGCACAGAGAGGTTAAAAGTCTTGTCTTAAGATTAGTTGCACAGCAGTGACAGAATGAGGATTGGCCCCTGCCCAGGTCCCCTCTGTAGCATATGCCCATCTCTGTCTGCAAATGGCTCAAGCTCCTGGCTCCTCATGAGGCCAAGCAGGAGAAGCTGGACCCATGTCAGCCTTATGATTCCAGGAATGGGCAAGGCAGACACTCATGGGCCCAGAATTGTCCATTTACTTTCAAGAGCCAGTAGGAGCCAGCCCTGGTTAACCAGGGCTCTTGAGTGGCAGTGGTTGCTTTAGAAAAGGAGCCGAGAGATCCCTGGGGTTCCCTCATCAAGAAGGGAGTCTTGCTGCGTGCTCTCAAACAAAAATAAAAACAAGCCTCCTCCTACAGCAGGTGGCAAATGGTTTCCTGGAGAGGAAGGGGGTACAGGTGGTGCCTCTCACCAGGCTGAAGGGGTGTCTCTGACGTTGAGTCAGGACACTCAGACCCCTGCTGGGTCCTGGGGAATGTCTGCCCTCCCCTCCCAGACGGTGTCCTTGGGGCTCTTGGGCCAGAGACTATACCCAGGGCTGGACACATTTCCTTCGTGCCATCTCTCAAAGCCTCCCCGGCAGAGAGCAATGCCAGCCAGAGCTCAGACGCTAAGCAGGTTATGCGATTAGGGCCGCTGCTCAGTCAGCAGACAAATTAATCTCCCTAAGTGGGTTAGTGGAGGGTGGAGATGCGCGGGGCGAAGGCAGGAGGTCTCCTGGGCTCGGTGTGGGATGCAGGCTGGGAGAGCCGCTTCCTAATGCCAGCACGTTTCTTCCCCCTTGTTCTCCTGCTCACCCCTCCTCTTCCCAGTCACTGTGCCCCGACTCTGTGCACTGCCATGTGGTGAGCCCCTTTCTCCCATCTGTCCCCGGTGCCTGGCACACAATGGTGCTTAGAAGTGTTGGCCGTGAAGTCGCAAGGCCTGGATCTGTCCTTCCCCACCCGACAAGGGCCAGAAACTTTGTAGCCCTAAACCTGGCGACAGGCCTGCATACCATAGGTGCCCATTATTTGGGTCAGGAAGGAATGTGCATAGTGTGGCACCACACCTAGCTGTAAACCCCAGTCAGACTCAAGGACTTGTGCTCAGGGGAGGAAGCGGAGGGGGAGAGCAGGGACCTCATCCTTCGCTTGGCTCCTGCTCAGGAGTCGGGCCTGTATTTCTGCTCCAAGTGTGTAGGGACGGGCCTAGAGGACATCACCATAGTGATAGAGGTGGACAGTGGTAATGAACTTGGTGGAGCCCTTGGCCTGGACCAAGCTCTGCACTGAGGACTTTGCCTATGCTGCCTCCCACCCCCACCCCCCCGGGTATAGAGTAGGTGTCAGCATCTCCATTCCACAGAGGAGGAATCTGGGGCTTAAAAGGTTAGCTGTGGCCTAAGGTCGTAAAGCTGTGGGGGTGGAATTGTGTCTGCACCTGGACAGTTTGATTCCAGGGTCTGGCGTGTTAAATGTGAAGTCATTCACCATCCTTTCCTTGCTCCGAAGCAAAGCAGGGCCTTGCTCAGAGCTCAGAGGTGGTTGGAGTTTGGTGGGACAGAGGGGAATCAAAACTGTGAGGCCAACCCCTGTCCTGGCATCTGATCCTGCCCTGCTCTCTTTCCTTTTCCCCCCTCCTCCTCCAGCTGTGAATGCAGCCCAAGGGTGCGGCCTCAAAGTGGCCTGTGTCTCAGCCGCAGTGTCAGACGAGTCAGTGGCTGGGGACAGTGGTGTGTACGAGGCTTCTGTGCAGAGGTGGGTCCCTGAATGCTGGTTCTGTGTGTCCGGGGAGCTTGACTCCTAGGTATGCAAAGCGGGCCTGTGGGAGCACCTGGCCTTTGACCCCTCAGGTGCACAAGAGGTCATTTGTGACAGCTCCCGCTGCCCTCAAAGCCCCGTTTGGGACTGTGCCTAAGATGCAGCCGCAGAAACCCACAGGCGTGGCTTTTCCTGGGGCTAGAGCTGCTTGGGATATTTGTGGGATCCAGTTCTAGGGCAGCTATTGCAAAGTGCCTGCCAGAGAAGCGCATGCTAGAAAAGGGACGCCCTTTAAGAGGCACCCAGAGCAAAAGGGGTGGAGGTGGGGTCTGGAGGGATGCTGGGCACACCCCCATTGTTCCTCCTGGAGGACCCGGGGGACAACCTCCCAGAGAGAACTGTATCTCCAGAAATTGACTGTCCCAGGGCCCCTGCAGGGAAGCTCACTCCCTCTTCCCGGTGCCTTTCAGACTGGGTGCTTCAGAAGCCACTGCTGCATTCGACAGTGATGAATCAGAAGCAGCAGGTGCCACTCGGATTCAGATTGCCCTGAAGTAAGTGGAAGATGAGGGCAGAGGGATGGGATCTGCAGGGGCTCCTCCTCCACCCACGGCCTTTACCAGCATTTACCCTCATGTCTGCCTGGGGAGGAGGGCAGAACCGGCAGGACCTGTTCACCAGGGGGGACTGTTCACCACCAGGGAGGCTCTGAAATAAAAGCGTACCTGCTTCTTCCCCACCTCCCCACAGATGAGAAACACAGGTTTCTAAAGACTGTGACTCGCCCCAGCACCTGAGCTGGGCAGTGGCAGAGCCAGAACCAGGCCTGAGACCTCCTGCCCGCCAGGGTGTCTGTTCATTGTCACTGTGGCATCTGTCCATCCCCATTCGGATTCCAATGATTTGGATCCAAGTTGAACACAGGGTAGGGGGAGCATGGCCCACATAAGCGTGGTTTCCTCTTAATGGAAATGACTTCCATATTTTTTAAGTAGGAATTAATTGCTAGCATTTCAGTATCAGAAAACTTCCCATAAACTTCTGGCCTCTCTTTAGAAGTTCAGAGGACTGACAGCTCCAGACCTGCCTCTTTACATGGCTCTAGGTCTGTGTCGCCAGGTTGGTTCCCCACAGTTCCCACCAGCCACAACCACATCTTGGGATTATTAAGGGGGAGAGAGAGAGAGATGTATTACTAACAGGTGTTGCTCTTGCCCCTTTTCATTTCAGGTATGATGAGAAGAATAAACAATTTGCAATATTAATCATCCAACTCAGTAACCTTTCTGCTCTGTCCCTGCTGCAAGACCAGAGAGTGTGAGTATGTGGCTGGGCGGTTGTGGGTTCTCCCCTCACCCTCTCTGGTTATCCCTGGGGACACTCTTCCTCTCTGTCCTGCAGGTATCCGTGCATGGGACCGTGATGCTAAGTGTCAGTCCTGTTCATGCCCTTACAGACACCATGGCAAGCTGCTGTGGGCAGTCCCCATTCCTTCCCCAATGCAAACTGGGTACCTACCTCAGGATGGGGTGGCGAGCCGGTCCTTCATGGACCCTGCCCCTCAGGACTTCAGCCAAGAATGGGCACAGTCCTGTTTGTCTTCTCAAGTGTTCTACCCAGAAAGGAGCCTCCCACTCTTCAGAGTTGATGCCAGTTTTTTGGCCAGGATGTGACTGGGTATTCCCCAGAGGCTGATGGGATGGTACACACCTCTGCCATCTCCCTGTTGCTCTTCCCCCTGCAGACCGGGTTTAGTTTCCTCGCACTCACCTGAATACCTGTTTTCTCCTGTAACTAGACCGTGAGGCCTAGCGGACAGCAATAGGGGCAACTTCTAGCCCCCATGGGGGTGGAACATGGGGAAAGAAAGATGGAGGGTGGGAAAGCCAACAGAGCAGAAGGAAGACAAGACTGGACCCTTGGCTCACTTTCAGGCTTTGCCTGTGCAAACAGTGGCAGGACAACCAACCTTTCCCCCATCTCGCTGGCACCCATGCAGGGGTATCTGGGACAGTGCCTAGAGGGTGGGGGTCTGGCCCCGAGGATCAACACATCTGTGGTTTTGCTCAAATCCTCAAGTTCTCCTCTGAAGAGGTTGTGGCACTTTGCCTTCTCTATATGAGGGGCCTGACGGTCCCCCTGCCCAGTGGTCACAGGCATCCCTTGCAGATCCCTGCACAACACCCCCAGCTTGCCTGCTCCACTGCGCTTTCCTGGGGGATTTTAGCAGCTGAGAACCAGCACATCAGCCTCAGACCTGGGTTGACCCGACCTCCCGGTGGTTCTGTCCCCCTTTAGGAACATCCGCGTGGCTATCCTCCCTTGCTCTGAAAGCACCACCTGCCTATTCAGGACCCGGCCCCTGGACGCCTCGGACACCCTCTTGTTCAACGAGATGTTCTGGGTGTCGGCGTCCTACCAAGCCCTTCACCAAAAGACCTTACGAGTCGATGTCTGCACCACCGACAGGAGCCACGTGGAAGAGTGCCTGGTGAGGGCTGAGTCTTCTGTCTGTCTGTCTGTCTGTCTGTCCATACATCCATCTGGCCTTCAGTCCTTCTAGGGACTGGTCCACCCTGAGCTTTGAGAAGGCTGGAAGGAGAGGCATGCTGTGATGTGGGTCAAGCCTGGATTCCAGGCAGAGGTGTTTGCATGGGGAACACTGGGGGGCTCCTCTCCGGCGAGGTGGCGTAATGGACCTTAGAGGACCTGGACAACACTAGCCCTGTGCCTCAGTTTTACTTCCCAGTCTCAGAGACAAGAAACACATATACAGATAAGTTCAAATCCCACCTACCACTTGCTGTATAGCTGGGTGACGTAAGGCAAGTTACTTAAAACGTCTCTGATTTTCATTTTTCTTGCTAATAAAATGCAAATAATTCCTCCCTCATGCCCATCGTCAGGGTTACATGAGGATTCGGTATATGTGAAACACCGAAGTGCCTGATACATGGTCGGTTCTCGTTAAAGATGAGGCCTTTGCTGGTCCCCTAAGTGCCCACTCCATGCTGGGTGCTGGAGGCCCATGGGAGAATTTCTTAGATGAGGAGCCAGCTCGGACGGCTGACACTCAGACAAGTTGGCAGGGACCGTGTTGGAAACGTGGGTTGAGGTGAGAGGAGCAAATGTGGGTCCCAGGCAGAGGAGCCATGCAGGCTGTGTTTGCCTCTCCATCTTCCCCGCCTCCTTGACAGGCTGGTCGTCTGATATGAACACAGCCTTTGCCTGGAGCAGGAGCATCTTAGCTGTCCAGCCTTGCCTGGGTCTGCTTCTGCTGGAACACCCTCTCTGGTGGAACCGTGGAGCCACAGGGAATGTCAGTCCTCAGCCTGGTCATCAGGCCTGCCCATCCCAGCCATCACCTGAGAATCTCCACTTCTAGGTCTCAGTTTCCTTATCTGTAAAATCTCACTTGTGCTGTTTCCTTAGCAAGCTATTCTCCTGGATTCAATGAAGCACTAAAGCCAGACTTCTCAAACTTTGCACTGAGTTCCCTGGTGCTCCGCTTAAAATGCACATTCAGATTCAGTAACTCTGGAGTGTGGCCGGAGATGCCCCCAGGGGGTGACAATGCTGCTAGGCCCTGGGTCACACTTTGTGTAGCAAGGATGTATGATGGTGTCTGCACTCACTCAGTTCCCACTGGACATCAGTTCCCACCTCTCTCCTGCTCACTGGGGTCCATAACAGGGTTGCTGCCATTTATGGTGATACCAGTGCTAACAATAATGCGGTGGCAGGTGTACATAGGATGAAATGGCATGAGGCAGACGTTGAGCTAAGTCCCTGGCATGCATTCTCTCTGTTGATCCTCGATGCAGTCTAATGAGGTAGGTACTGTATATCAGTAGGGAAACTCAGGCTAAAAGAACTAAAAGACCTTCCCTGAGGTCACATGGCTGGAAAGTTGCAAGAGCCATATTTGAACGCAGGCACATTCCCCTGTGAAGCCCATCCACACCAGCCCCGACGTGCTGTCTCTGCCAGCACAGGGCTCCCTGGAGCTACAGGTGGGGATGGTGGCTTAAAGGGTTTGGCAAGCGTGGTGGACGTTGAACTAAAGAACAGAAAGCTTTTCCGACGCCAGACCTGCAGTGAAGCCTTTCCTGAGCCTGGGCATTCCTACATGAGAGGAGCCCCAACCCTATTTTCTTCTCCTAAGTGGATCCCTTTTATTCCTCTTTCCTAATTGAAGTCTGGCCATCGCTGGTTGCCATGGCAGCAGCCAAAGCGCTCTTCTCACCGCGGCTTCTCTCTGCCTGTGGCCAATGGGAAACCTCCTTTCCCGCAGGAGTGCGGACGTGGAGTGTCAGGCTGTCGTGTTTTGGTGGCTGGAGGAGGAGAGGGAGTGAGACGAGAGGTAGAGCGGGCTTGCTGCTCCCACGTGGAGTCTCCCCTGCATTGCCGGGAAGGAGGAATCCCCAGTCGGGTTCCAGCATTTAATGGGCCAGCACTACTGTCTGCGTGTCTACTGTTGGGCCAAGAACTTCACGTGTGCAGAGTCTCATTCAGTTCCCCACCCAGCCCCTCGGATAAGGAACCCATGATCTCCATTTTGTAGAAATGGGATCAAGACCCAGAAAGGCTAAGTCGCCTGCCCAGCTCATCCTGCGCGTGGAGAGACAGCGTGGATTTGAATACGAATTCCGCTCAATGCCTCTCAGGGTTATTGTAAGGGCTCTCATGTCCCCAGACCTAGATTATGGGTTTAGAGGGACATTTGCCTGCCTTCCCCAGCACCGCAGGTGGCAGTTCCACCGGATGCTCGAGGATGGCATCTCAGGGTCCCTGGCTCCCTGTTATTCAGCTGCTGAGCCCAACGCAGGCAGCTCAGGTCCTGCAGAGGCAGCCAGCTTCCCAGGTCCCATGGGGAATATCAGCACGGCTCCCCTGGCGTTCCTTCACTTGGCAAAACCCCAGCCCTGCCAAAGCGACCTCCCCACCTGTGCGCAGCTGGACAGATCATGCACACGACCTCGCTACACAGTGCTGACTTCTCATGATCTGATGCTGCCCAGCCCGAGACTGCGTCTCCCAGACCCTTTATTCCCACCTGTGCGCAGACCCTCACCCCGAGAAAGGAGGCAGAACCGAGTGCCCCGGCTCCACCCCCACGTGGCTGCTTCTGCCTGTCCTTGGGGCTCCTCCACACTCCTGCCAGAAGCCACCCCCTTGAGGACGTCACCCCACCATTGTTCTGCTCTCTCCTACCCCCAACTTTCCCTCCCCTACTGAGTGCAGCCTCCCCAAGTCGCAGCATGCTGCTGTTTCTCTTCCGCTCACAACAAACGAGCAAAACCCCTTTCGTCCCATTTCCATCTCCAAGTATGACACGATTTCTTCCCTTTTCTTTATAGCAGAAGACAAAAGAGATCACTTTCCTTCTGGAACCCAATCTCAGAGGGCTTCTGGCCTCGTGCTTTGCTCCTCGTGGTCATTGGTGACCTCCCAGTCACTCAGCGCAGTGGCTCCTTCTCCACCCTCATCCTCTGAACAGCCAGCGACGTGTGGCACGTTGCCTGCTCCGTCTTCCTCCACGTTTTCTCTTTACCTTGTCACCTCACCTTCATGGTGTTCTTCCCACGTCACTGGCTTCTCTCTTGGTCTCCTCTGCTGACCCCTCCTCATTTCCCTGACCTATGTCCGAGGGCCCCAGTGCTCCATCCTAGCTGATCTCCGCTTTCCGAGTCCCTTCCTTGGTGAACTCTCCCCGTCTTCAAACACGCTGCCAGGTGTGGTTGCAGCCTAGATCTCTGCTTACCTCAGACCTCAGATTCGCAGCGCCTGTTTGCATCTTCTCTTACACGTCTCAAGAGTACCTCAAGCCAGCGTGGCCACAAGAGCACGCCGATGTGTCTCCCTGTGTCTTTGCCATCTGGGCTGATGGCATCCTATTTGTCCATTGCTCAGGCCAGACACAGTGGCCTTTCTTGTTCTCCCACCTCATCTTGTGCAATTCACCTTCTAAAGATCCCTAGAACCCAACCACGTCCCCCGGCCTAAGCCACTGTCATCGCTCACCTGAGGGATTGCAGCAGTCTCCTCCTTGGTCTCCCACTTTTGTTATCTTCTCCCCCACCTCCCGGGAGCCTACATGTAGGAGCCGTTCTCTGTTTTACCAGATGAGGATGCAGGTGCCAGGCAAGTCAAGTGTCAGCCTGGTGTCGGCTTCCCCTCCCCACTGAGCACTGCTCTCCCAGAAATCACCTTTATCCACCCAGACGTAGCACAGTCCATGTTCCGCTCCGCTCCATCCTGACGCAGGTTGAGTATCCCTATCCAAATTGCCTGAGACCGGGAACGTTTCTTTGGAATATTTGCATATACATATCTTGGGGTTGGGACCCAAGTCTAAGGAGAGGATTCCTTTATGTTTCTCGTACCCCTACTACAACTAACCTGAAGGGAATCTTTTAAAATATTTGTAATAATTTTGTGCATGGAACAAAGATTTTTCCCCTTGTGGCATCACACTGGTACTCAAAAAGCATTGGGTTTTGGAGCATTTTGGATATTGGGTTTGGGGATTAGATACACTCATCCTGGAGAAGGAGAAAGCAGGAGGGTCTCAGGGGGACTGAAGAGCCCGTTTCACATCCTGGGATCCATCCCTGGCCATGGCCGGCTGCAGGCCCTCTTTGCAAACTGCTGTTGCTATTTCTACCAGCCACGGGCACAGCCACTGATGTGAGAGAGAGGAGGGTAAGAAAGGTGAGCTAAATCCCAGATCTAACTGGGGCTTTCCAAAAAAGGAGTGGCGGAAGCAGTAAAACCTGAGCAATGATTGAAGTCAGTTTGTGGTTCCTCCCGCTAAGGAGAAACTTGCAGTGAAGCCTTTCTTTATGACATTATATCTGATTTGTCCATTGGTTGCAGTTTATTTTTATCATAAGGAGTGTATTTATATGATTCCAAGGAAAACTGTATGGAAATCTCACTCTTCCCCCATGGAATATTTTTGATGGAACCATTTTGACCAGTTTCTTCGTTACCTCCCAATAGTTCTTGATTCATATATGATCATGTGATCATACTCACTCCCCTTGTGCCTCAAACATGGTACAATGAAGGGTATTTAGAAGGTACTGGGTGCAGTGGTGCATGCCTCTAATCCCACTTTATTTGGTTTATTTGGGAGGCTGAGATAGGAGGATCACCAAGTTTGAGGCCAGCCTGGGCAATTTAGCAAGACCCTGCCTCAAAATAAAAAGTATTTGGGCTGTGCCTCAGTAGAGCCCTTGCCTGGCATGCATAAGGTCCTGGGTACTGATCCCCAGCTCCCCCCCAAAAAATATATATAGATAGATAGATAAAAGATACGTATGTTCTCCATTTTTAATACACAAAACAGTATACCATTTCTTTGGGATACTTGCTTATACATGGCATCCTTTTGTGCACCATGTTCCTTTTCTCCTTAGCAATGTGTCCTGGACACCTCTGCATCGGTACAAAGAGCGTTAATTTTTTAGCCTGCTACATAATCTTCCATTGTATAGAGAGGTTGTACTTTATTCAAACAGTCCCTTTTTGCTGGACCTCTGACTTATTTGAAATCTGCTACTACAAAAGGAGTCAAAAATGAAGATTCCTTTTCATGGGTCATTTTCCCATTTACCCTGCTTATGCAGGGCTGTCTGTGGCCCAGACATCCACAAGGAGAATTGCTGAGTCGAAGGGTTAAATGTATCTGTATTTTTGCTGTATATGGCCAAATTCTCTTCACAGGGTTTCAGCCCTTTTCCATTCCCACCAGCTAAGTGAGAGACTGCTCGTTCCCCTAGCCTCCCTGAGAATGTGCTTTGTTGGCTTTTTGATGAGTGCATGTTTTGTAGGGGAGAAGTGAGTGATAGGTGGTTTTTTTGCCTGACCTGTAATTACTCGTTCAATGTCCCATTCCATCTCCTAGAGACCGCTAGCTCCTAGGAGATGAGACTGTTTTGGGGACCTTCATTATCCTTAGAAGGTACCACACAACCTAATGCTCATTAGGGTTAATGTAGGAGAGGTCTCCAACACCAAATATCGAATAACCCAAATTAAAAATTGGCAAATCACTTGAATAGACATTTTTCCAGAGATGGCATACAGATGGCAAATGTGCACAGAAGATGTTCGGCATCACTAATCATCCAAGAAATGCACGTCAACACCACCTTGAGATATCACCTCCCACACATTAGGATGCTGCCTATCGAAACACGACAGAGAAGATACACAGCAAGCGTGTCATTGTGGAGAAAGTGGAACCCAATGCAGTGTTGGTGGCATTATAAAACAGTGTAACCGCCATAGGAAACACAGTGGAGCTTTCTCAAAATATTAAAAATAGAATTATCACGTGACCTAGTAGTCTTACTTCTGGATATCTATCCAAAAGAACTGAAAGAAGAGTCTAGAAGTGGTATATCCACACTTGTGTGCACAACTTCACTTTTCACAATATTAAAGAGGTTGGAAGGAACACAAATGTCCATGGATAGATGAGTAGGTAGACATTGTGGTCTGTGCTCATGAAGGAATATTACTGAGCGATGAAAATGAATGGGCTTCTGATACACGCTACAATGTGGATGGACCTTGAGGATGTTGTTAAATGAAATAAGCCAGTCACTAAAAGACATACCACTTGATTGCACTTACATGAGACATCTAAAGTAGTAAAACTTATAGAAATAGAAGCATGGGATTACCAAGGGCAAGGGTATAGAGGACAGGGGCACTGTACTAAAGTGTAGCACTTCGTATTTGCAAAATTTAACAATTCTGAAGATCTGTTTCACAATAATGTGCCTATGCTTAATACTAAGGAAACATACCCTTAAGATGATAAAGGTAAAAAAAACATGTGGGTTTTTTAAACACAATAAAAAAGAAAAAGAAAACAGGATAGATGCTCAGGAAAATATCTGTTGAAGGAGGGCTTGGGGTGTAGCTCAGTGATGGAGCTTATCAAGATGCTGGGTTCAGTTCTCAGCACCAAAAAAAAAAAAAAAAAAAAAACGGTATAGAGATGGTGGTGCATGCCTGTGGTCCCAGCTACTAGGGAGGCTGAGGCAAGAGGATTGCTGGAGCCTGGGAGTTTGAGGCCAGCCTGGCCACCATTGTGAGACCCCTTCTGAAAAAAAAAAAAAAGATTTGGCAAATGAGCTTGCCAGTGAGTGAATGAGTTACTGGAGATAATGCCTAGTCCGTTCTTAAGCCTCCATCTCTACCTGGCAGTGGCGGTGTGGTGGTGTTTTCCATATTGTCCCCAAGAGCCAAATTCTGAGGACACCTTGTCACCCCCTATTTATATTCTCTTTCCTTCCACCCCTGACAGGGAGGTGCCCAGATCAGCCTGGCAGAGGTGTGCCGCTCTGGGGAGAGGTCGACTCGCTGGTACAACCTCTTGAGCTACAAATACTTGAAGAAGCAGAGCAGCGGGCCCAAGGCAGCTGGAGCCACGGGCCCCAGCCCAGGGCCTGAACGCACGGTGAGCTGGGGTCCCATCCCGGAGCCCCGACCTCTCACACAGGCGGCCGCTAGAGGGTGGGGGGGCCTCTTCCCTAGCAGAGTCAGGTAGGCCGGGCTCACTGGTGCAGGAAATGGGGTGGGGACGAGAAAGGAGTGAGAAAAAGGACAGGAAGGCAGGGCCTTACTAAGGGACGAGGAGCTCCCCGTCTAGAACCCACTCTCTCTGCGTCTCCCCGCCCCCTTCTGTGTTTTGCACTATCTAACATCACTCGCCTGCTAAACACCTTAGTTCACAGTTGTTTAGAAAGGGAGAGCCGGGGTGGAGCGCTTGCCTGGCATGTGCCAAGCCCTGGGTTCTGTTTCCAGCACCAAAAATAGAGTGGAAAAGAAGGTTGCAAGGTAGAAAGGAAACCTTCCTTATGACCCTGCTGTGCAAGGCCCGTCCCAGAAATCAGAGAAGAGGAACGGGAGCCAAGGCAGGGACAGTCAGAAGGCCGGTGTCCCCAGCCGGCCGCAGGGCTCAGGCACGCAGCAATCTGAGCCTCCGTGGTTTTCTTGTGTGAGCCTTGACAGGTTGCTGTGAGGTCTGAAGAGAGCAGGGCCTGGGGCTTGAGAAATGGTGACGGTTTCGCTATTATTTTGACTTACTTAAGAATTTCGCATTTGCCTCTTTGGGGTTTAAAAAAAAAAAATAAGTTTCCTGTCTTAGTGCTTTGTAACGACAGAGTCTTGCTCCCCTGAGTCCTGGCCGGTAGTCTACTTGGCCAGCGGGTGTGGACCTCGAAGGGCAGGAAACCGTCTCGGGTATTTGAATAGGTCAAGTGTGCTAGAGATGAGGCTCCGGGTTCAGTCTGTTTTCTCTTTCTCTTTCCCCTGGTCTTCTCTTGTCATCTTCTGTACTCCCTTTGTGTCCAGTGCTGTCCTGTTACATGCAGTGCCCCACAGCTCAGAAAGATGAACCAAAATTACACTATCAATGTCCATCAACCAGCTGCAAAGCTCAGGGGCACACCCTGCCCCGCCCCCTCACTCCAAGGAGACAGTGAGCTGGCCAAGGTCCTGAAACGAAGCTCCTCCCCCTTCTAGCACTTGACCCTGAGTAAGCACCTTCCACTCTCACGCACAACTGCCTCCGTCCCATCCCTCAGGGGGACAGTAACGCCTGCCTATCGGGATCATGGTGGGATTAAAAGGATGCTATGCATAAACTGTCCACCTCGTTCCTGGCCAGTATCAGGCCTTCAATTGATTTTTGTTCTTTCTTTCCTTTCCCAAAAGAAAAATGTCAGGAATTATCCAGACTCTGACCTGTGCTCCCAGGGTCCATTGCAAATTCACCATGGGCCCAGAAAACTGCAGGTCCTAGTTTTTGCTTTACTCTCAGTTCCCCTTTGCTGAGTGCCAATTGTGTGCTAGGTGCTCTTCTGGGTACTGTATATAAATTGCGTCGACTGGTCTCCATGGCAACCCTTAAAGGAGACTCACGTCACTCACGCTTCTTCACTGCAGACACCAGTCAGTAGAGACGGTCTTCCTCCAGGACGCCCTCCCCGAATGCCATCCCCCACGATTGCTGCAGTTCCTGTTCCCAAACATGCGATCCTGGTCCCTTCCCATGTCGTTGGGTTACTGATGGAACACGCATGGGTCTCCCTGACATCTCTGTTCTCCTCACAGTCAGACCTGTGATTCTCTCACTTAACCTTCCAAAACTCTACTGAGCAGTTCCACATGCACCACGGGGTTATTCTCTGGAGGGAGAGGAACCAGGAACTGTAGTTCCGGGATGTAAGTGACACTGGGCAAGACACCTGGCCGCGCTGGACTTCAGTTTGCACCCTCAGTTCCCCAGGAGGGTCAGGGCTCTCAGATGCTCGGACTCCTGGCAGGTTGGGCAGCATCCATGGTCCCTCCACTGACCCTTGGTCTCTGCAGGACGCTGTGTCTGCCCTGCTAGAGCAGACGGCAGTGGAGCTGGAGAAGAGGCAGGAGGGCAGCAGCAGCTCACGGGCGCTGGGAGACAGCTGGTAAGTGAGCGCTCCCTTGGACCTTCAGGGCCACTGGGTTTGGACCTGGGTCCAGGGATGAGATCCCCAAACACTAGGGCAACCAACAGACAGGTTCTCCTGGGGGCACTGAGAACCTTTCCCCTCATGGACTGTCTACAGGCAACAAGACACCATAGCCGGTATGGTAGTTCCTAATATCCCTGTCCCTCTGGGTGTGGAGGGACAGGGATATTAGGAACTACTATCCTGGAATCCCAGCTGCTCTGGAGGCTGAGGCAGGAGGATCCCACATTCAAGGTCAGCCTGGGCAAATTAGTGAGTCCTTGTCTTAAAATGAAATTTAAGAAAAGGGCCAGGGATGTGGCTCAGTGGCCGAGTACTTACCTAGCATGCACAGCTCTGGGTTCAGTCCCCAGTGCTACCACCACCCTCAAAATTATCCCTTCCCAATTTGGCATTTTGTGTTCCATGGATCACCTATGCAAGGTCACACCTAATGTTATTCATTGTCTTGCACTGACATTTCTTTTGCTTTTTCTTGGGGTGAGGGGTGGTGGGTACTAGGGATTGAACTCAGGGACACTCAACCACCGAGCCACATCCCAGCCATATTTATTGTTTTGTTTAGAGACAGGGTCTCATTGAGTTGCCTAGCACCTCACCGTTGCTGAGGCTGGCTTTGAACTTGAGATCCTCCTGCCTCAGTCTCCCAAGCTACTGGGATGACAGGTGTGTGCTGCCACATCCGGCTGACACTTCTTTTGGTCAACAACTTTTTGATTAAATTTTTTATTGGTATAAATGAAAAATTTGTATCATATGCCATAAATTAAAAGTTCATCAGTAAGGATTGCATTTGGCTGCTAGAACAGGGAGCAAAATAATATAAATAAGTTTCTTTGTTACTTAAAAAGAATATAAGAAAGTTTCCAATTCTGTTAGCATGATTATGTTGTTAGGAACCCAGGCTTCGCTTCTCTGCTTTGCTGTCTTTACTATGAGACCTCCGTCATCCGGGCTGCTTGATAGCCCAAGATGGCTTTGGACTACCTGCCCTCACACAGTCTTTTAGTCAGGAAAGAGGAAAAACCAAAGAATGTGCCTCTGGGAAATGAAGGTATAGCTTAGTGGTAAAGCAGTTTCCTAGCATGTACAAGGCCCTGGTTTTTAATCTCCAGCCCCACAGATAAAATTAAGCCACATACAATTTCTTTTTTTTCTTTCCATTCTTTGTGGTACTGGGGCTTGAATCAAGGGCTCTGCGCTTGCTAGGCAAGTGGTCTCCCACTACACTGTATGTCCAGCCCTGCACATAATTTCAGTGTGGCTGGTAGTCTCAACTAGCCCAGCCCTAGTTTCATTTTAAAAAAATAGAAGAGACATGCCTGTGCACCTTTTCACCAGGAAGCAGACAGGACAGTCATATGACTTCTGGTTGCTTCTTCTTGTCCAGTCCGCCACTTGGCCTGCCCAACTTCGAGGGAGACTGGAAAATTAGCTGGGCCTGACATCTTCCGGCTCCATGTTAAAAAGGAGCTGAGCCAGTGTCTCAGTGCTTTTGCCAGGGAGACTGTCTCCTTGATGGGACAGGAACTGAAGGGAGGGCAGCGTTCTCACTCTGACCTGATGCTCTGTGATTCCTTCTCACAAGCAGAAAGTTCCCGTGGCACCCTTGACATTGACCAGGGTGGCAATCCTGCCCTCTTCATTTTTTTGTGTGTCACCTTAGCACTTTCTAATATCTTTTTTAAAATTGACACACAATAATTGTACAAATGGACCATGTTGTTTTGAGACATATGCGCATTGTGTAATGATGCCATCAGGTTAATTAGAATATCCATCACCTCAAACAGCTGTCGTTTCGTTGTGCTGACACCTTCGGAGTCCCCTCTCCTAACTCTTCTGACACGCACTGTACATGCTTGGCCATGGTCACACTTCCGTCCAGGGCTCACCACAGTTGGCTCCTCCTGTCTATGCATGACTTCATACCCCTCCCCTCACCTCTCTTCTTCCCCCCTCCACCTCCCTGTCCAGCTCAACATAATGCCCTCCAGACCCTCCCACGTTTCACAGATGACCAAGATTTATGGCCCCGAGGTCCTCTCCGTGTATACATGCCACGTTGTCTTCATCCATTCGCCTGATGATGGACACTTGCACTGCAGCAAACCTGAGAGTACAGGTGCGGTTTTACTGCAGAATAACACACATGCAGAAAGCGGATGCAAGTGGACTCAGTTCAGCCAACCTCCAGAAACTACAGAAGCAGAGCAGCACCAGCACCGTGGGAGCTAACCATGCCTCCTTCCCATCTTTACCCTCACCTCCTCTTACCTTGACTGAGCCTCCCCTGAAAACTGGGGTGGTGGGGAAATACTTAAGACCCAGGGTTTCTGGAAAAGACTGGAAGAGAAGCCACTAATGAAGACAAACTACAGAGTGTATAGTAGACACTTAGTAAGTGACAGAAAATATTATTAGGGCAAAGAGATCCCAGCCAGGATTGGCCACTGCCTATGGATCTTGCCATCTGGGAGGAAGTAGAGTTTGGTCTTCAGCTCCTGTGCTTGGAATCCAGACAGATAAGCATTCAGAGGTTAGCTCAGCCAATTTCCTGGGACATGCTGGGTCTGGGGTGTGGTCTGAGCTCCCTGAGTGATTGACAGGTGCCGCCTGGGCTGAGGACCACCACTCTTTTTATTATTGTTGTTTTTATGTTGGTTTTATTTTGTTTTGTTGATACTGGGAATTAAACCCAGAGGTACTTTACCACTGAGCTACATCCCTTGCCCTTTTTACTTTTTATTTTTTTATTTGAGATATGATCTCACTAAGTTGCTGAGGCTGGCCTTGAACTTATGATCCTCCCACCTCAGCCTCCTGAGTGGCTAGAATGACAGGTGTGTACCTCACACCTGGTTAGGACCACCACTCTAAACCTCCGTTTCCTCATCTGTGCAGCAGAGATTTTAAAGATAGCCATTATATCATGGGGATTTTGCAGAGTCCATAAAATGATGCACGTTAGCACTTAACACAGACCCTGACCCAGAGGAAGCTGTACGTTGACTCTTGGATGATCTTTCTGTTAAGCCCCACTTTGTATATTTGGTCTCAGAAGGAGCCTTCCCTTCGTATCTTTGACTCCAGAGATCACCAAATGTTTTCTGGAAAAGGCCAGATGGCAAATATCGTCGGCTCTGTGGGCCATATGGATCCTGCCACAGCGCCTCCAGACTGCTTCTGTGGCATGGGAGCCCCTGGACAGTCTGCAGACCAGCAACCCTGTTTGTGCTCTGCCGACATGTCATTTACGGACACTGAAATTTGCATTTCATATCACTTGCACCTGCCATGAATTAGTCTTCTCCTATTGATTTTTTTTTCCCAGACATTTTAAAATATAAAAACGATTCATAGCTTAGACTATCCAGAAAAAATCAGTGGGCTGGACTTGTCCCACCAGCTGTAGCTTGCTGACCTCTCTACTAGTCCTCTTGGACTGTTTCTCCCTGTGAGAAAGAGTACAGCAAGGTTCCTGGATTTTTTGTGGGATCTTTTGTTTATTTTAGGGTCCTCCACACTGTCTCAGCCTCTGCCTCCCCCCCCCCACCCTACTCTCTGGCACGACTGTGTCACCCTGTACTGTAATTCACACAGCCCAAGATCTGATGCCAGAAATAGGCCCAGGACCTGTCTCCCAAAACCCTGGCGTGAGATCAGTGGCTTCCGCTAAATTCCAAGCTTGTGCTGCGACTTTTCAAGCCGTCTCCTAGCAACCGCCTTCTGTTCTCTCTCCCTTTGGGGCCCCCTGTATCCCCACCCCCTGCCATTCAAACTTCCCCAGCCTCTTACTCACAAAGAGGCCCGGGGATCCCCCAAGCTGCCTCGCGGGTCCGTCCATCTGCGGCCATCTCCCCCCAAGCTGGAGGCTTCTTTGGGTCCCAGGGTGGCTGCCTAGCTCTGGAGTCCCAGGTGGAGTTCTGCCAAAGGCCAGCTCTGCCTTCTAATTTACACTCTTCAGTTCAGCCCAAGGATCCAGCATGGCATGTCTCTCCCTCTTTTTATTTGTTTAGGTTTCTTTGTTGTTTGTTTGTTTGTTTGTTTGTTTTGCAGGGCTGAGGAGTGAATCCAAGGGCTCTCTGCCATGGAGCTACATCCCCAGCCCTTTTTATTTTTGCTAAGTTGCTGAGGCTGGCCTTAAGCTTGCCATCCTCCTGCCTCAGCCTCCCGAGTCCTTGGGATGACAGGGGGCCTTACCTAGGTTTGTTTAGTGCAGAGAATTATAATTGTTTTAAGAGCCATAGCAAAATAAAATTAAGATTATTAGAAAACATAGAATATAATCACAACCATGCTAGACGGATGAACCATCCTATTTACCTTCTCAGGAACTTGTGTGTTCCTGTCTAGGGCAGATATGAAGTGGTGTTTCTGAGCCCCAGCGCATGCGTGTTTTATATTTCAATAGTAGCCGTGATAGAGTAGTTCCCAAATGTCTCTGTTAGTACAGAAAATGTTCCCACAGCAGTGATTGAGAGTTTCCTTAACTTGCCCCCTTTCAGATGGTCGATTTAATTGAACTACTATACTTAAATCAACATTATGAGTCCTTTTTCTTGGTACCAGGAATTGAACCAAGGGGTGCTTAACCACTGAGCTGCATCCCCAGCCTTTTTAAAAAAATTCTTATTTTGAAAGAGGGACTCACCTAGGTGCTAGGGCCTCCCTAAGTTGCTGAGGCTAGCTTTGAACTTATGATCCTCCTGCCTCAGCCTCCCAAGCCACTGGGATTACAAGCATGTGCCACCATGCCCAGTCAACATTATGTACACTTCTGCTGAGTGCAGTGGCACACATTTGTAACCCCAGTGACTCAGGAAGCTGAGGCAGGAGGATCGCAAGTTCTAGGCCAACCTCAGCAACTTAGTTGAGACTTTGTCTCAAAAGAAAAAAGAAAAAAAGGCCTGGGAATATAGCTCAGTGGTAAAGAAAGCTCCTTTGGGATTAATCCCCAGTACTGCAAAAATAAATAAATAAATAAATATAAAGCATATGTATACTTTTTATTTTAAAAGACGCCGCTAGCCCTCGTTCCTAGTATACATTCCCTCCTCTCCTTTATGCTCGCCCCGTGATCTGCCTGTCTCCTCTACCTTCACCAGCACTTGATATTATCAGATTTTTTTTTTTTTGCCATGGCAATGGGTGAAAAGATGTTGTGTATTTTAATAATTTTTCTCTTTGCCATTGAGATGGAGTGGGCTTTTCCCCCTGACCTGGAATGTTTAGATCAGATTCAGTTAAATGGAAGAGACTGCCATCGTGGTCGAGCCTCAATGGGCTTGGACAAATCCCCCTGGGAACTTGATGCTACCACTGAGCGCCCTTGCTGGCACATGGAACCTGAGGGTCTGTGCCCCTCGCTTTTTGAGTCTGTGAAGTGCATTGAGCTCTCCCAACGCTGTTGAACCATGAAGCATAGCACCAAAAGCACCGAGTTCTGCTGCTGACCTTTTTCCTGATGCACTTCCCCTGGATGCAGCATTCTTTCTAGAGGGGCTTCCATGGATTCCCAGGCTCCATGTCTTCTTCACGAGAAGATGGAGGAGCTGCTGGGGCCAAGAAGGGAAGGACAGGTCCCTCTGTGGCCAGAATCCCCAGCTGAGGTCCCAGGTGTCTGCATGGCAGGGTTGGTGGTAGAGACCCAGGATCCCTTCTCCCTGTTGGGAAATCCTCAGGGACATCTGAGGTTCACCCTCAGCCTTGATGAGCCAGCTCCTCGTCGAATTCTCTGCTTCTGGCTAGAATTCTGTGGGCTCAGCGTGGCAAGCCCATGTCATGCTGCTCAGAAGCCTGGCAGGTTTATACGTGTTTGAGAAGTCAAGATGAGGCCCAAGATAAATGACTGTGTAACACTGGAAATCCATTTGTCACACTAAATCTTTCCCACCCAGGAGTCCAAGGGCAGAGGACGGCTGTAAAGGATGTCGCCAAGAAGATTCTCTTGAGCCAGTCGTGCTGCACAGGAAGCCCCGTGGGGAAGAAGTTAACTCGGACACATATCTTACCTCGTGTTCAAAAAATAACACAAATGGGTCCTGAGTGAAACTGAGACTGTGAAACTTCTAAAAGAAGACTATAGGAAATTCTTCCCCATGTCAGAGAAGGCAGAGATTTCTCTGGACATAAAAAGCACTGTAAAAGGAAAATGAATAAATTGGACTTCAACCTAATTAGAAACTTCTGCTCTTTGGAAGATACCATCTAAAAAAAATGAACAGGCAAGCCGCAGGCCTAGAGAAAATATTTTACAATAAAAATACCTGACAAAGGATTCATGTGCATAATATAGAATGATCTCCTATAACCCAGGTGTAGTAGATGACTAAATTCAAGGACCAACAAGGATTTGGGATGCAGCTCAGTGGCATAGTTCTTGCCTGCTACGCTGGAGATCTTAGGCTCAATCCCCAACACAGGAGGGAGAGAGGAAGGAAGGAAGGACAGAAGGACAGACAGACGGACCAAGTGTTAATGAGGAGCCAGAATTCTCATTTTATTGCTGGTGGGAGTATAAAACGAGAAAATTACTTTGAAGAGTCACTTTCGGTTTTATAAAGGATAAACTTATATTCACGGGATGACCCGGTCAATCTGCTCTTGATTATGTATGTGTCATGGGCTGCACCAAGTTCCCCACATTCATTCACTGAACCTTAACCTCCAGCACATCAGGCAGTGGCTATATTTGCAGACAGGGCCTTTGAAGAAGCAACTAGGTGACAGGATGCTTTTAAAGTAAGGGTGAGGCCTAATCCAGTCTGGCGGGTGTCTTTATAAGAAGAGGAAATTTGTACACACAAACACCAGGGACGTGTGAGCACAGAAGAAAGAGCAAGTAAGGACCCAGCAAGAAGGTGGTCCTCTGCAAACCAAAGACGGGGTCCTCCGAGGAAACCAGACCTGCCGACACCTTGATCTTGGGCTTCAGCCTCCAGAACTGTAGCATTTCACCTCAACTGCTCCAGCCCATTCATATAATATCCAGGAGAAATTAAAACCTGTATCGGCCCACAATTCATGTATGTGAATGGTCTTACAAGCTTTATTCATAATGGCTAAGAACAAAAAGGAATCCAAGTGTGGGTCAACTGATGGAAAACTAAACAAATTGCAACATATCCACTCAGGGGAATATTACACATCAACAAAAATAACTACCGATGCCTGTAGGAACTGGGGGAACTTCCAAAACGCTATACTGACAGAAGAGGCCAGAGACAAGTAAATACATACTGATTCCACTTACATGGAACTGTAGAAGAATCTAATCTATAATGATAAGAAGCTGATCAGTGGTTGCTCAGGGGTGGGGGAAGATTGGGAAAGATGCAAAGGAATTTTTTAAAGCAATGGAATGTTGTAGATCTTGAGTGTGGTGGTGGTTACACAAGTGAGTACACTGATCAAAACTTGATAGCTGTACACTGAAAATGCATTTTGCTGATATATATAAATCACACCTCACTGCAGTTGGGTGTTTTGTATTCTTGTAGCGCTGGGCATCCAACCCAGGACCCATGCATACAAGATAGGTGTTTACCACTGAGCTACATCCCCAGCCCTAAATTGGGGATTTTGAAAATAATGTACTCTCAATGATGAAAAAGCCTGGGAGTTTTTTCCTGATGCACTTCCCCTGGATGCAGGTGAGTAGCATGGCTTCTGGGATAATAACCACAGTGTCTTGTCATTGCAGGAGGTACGAGGAGGAGACCTGCGAGAATGAGGCTGTGGCTGAGGAGGAGGAGGACGAAGAGGGGGAGGAAGCGGAGGGAGAAGAAGATTTTTTTGCAGAGAAAGCCTCCCCAGATGATAACCCGGCATTGAAGGTAGGAAGAGCCTTTGAGCCCTGGCAATCAGAAAAGGTTGGGGCAAGGTCTCATCGTCTAGCATGAAGGGACAGGCTACTAGAACAGGCCACCTGCAGTAAATTGTTAAGGAGCATCCCTTGCCCCAGTGACTTGAGGTCATTTTGGTGACAGTAAACCAGGAGAGGCTGTCTCTTTTCTTCTGCTCTCTGTGGCTCCTCTGTTTCTCTGGATGCACCTCAAGCTTTACAGTCACATGGTCTTGGTTCAAACCCTGGCCTTGTCACTCCCTGCCTCTGTCATCTGGGGCAGGTGATTTCATCCCTTTCAGGCCTCTGTTTCCCGACTTTAAGATGGACGCAGTAATACCAATCTGCAGATAGTTTCAGAGGCTTCCAAAGAATAGATGTCTTCATTTCGGTGGGGCCAAAGGGCAACGAGAAAAGGGAGTCCAGCCACATTCCTTTGCCTCCTGCTTTCTGGCAGCATTGGAGTGTTGTAGCAGGATTCTCTTTCCATAGAGATCTCCAACCTGCAGCTACAGCACCCACTGCATTTGAACAGGACCCCCAGGGTAGAGCTACAGGTGTGACGTGCTCCAAAGGCACCTGAACAAGTGGCTGGAGCAGAAGCTGAGCCCCCCTTCCAGCTCCCCTTTACATTTTCTCCAGCCAGACAGGGAACCTTTCTCAAAATCACACCACGGCGCTCTTCAGGCTAACAGAGTTCCTGAGCTTAAGTGCTTTTGCTTGCTTTTCTTTTACCTGGGATTGCTGTGTGTGGACAGCAGAAAACCCACTGGCTTTTTTTTAAAAAGGAAACTTGGCAGTGGCCTCTATAATTCAAAAAAAAATCTGTGGTTCTGGACCGGGGCAGTGGAGAGCTGGGGAATGTCTTTGTCAAAATGTGGGGGTACATAGGTCATGAGGACATGAGGCCCAGGATGCTGGTGCCCGAGGTACCTCACCATGTGAGTTTATTTGGGGGTTCCCGCTAGCCCCCCAGCCACGGGTGGAAGAATGAGAATGGGCACCTCCAGCCTTGGGCACCGCTCTGGCAGGACTGGGCTGATTGACCCTGCTGTGCCTGTGGGCCCACGGCAAAGAGGCACAGGTCAGGTGGAGAGTGGCTGGGTAGACTCGGGGTGGGTAGCCGACACTCAGTGGACATGGTATCCTCAAGCCTGCGACTTCTTCCTCAGGTGGACAAAGAGACCAACACGGACACGGTGGCCCCATCCCCCACAGTGGTGCGGCCCAAGGACCGGCGTGTGGGCACCCCATCGCCAGGGCCATTTCTTCGGGGAAGCACCATCATCCGCTCCAAGACCTTCTCCCCAGGGCCCCAGAGCCAGTACGTGTGCCGGGTAAGCTAGCCTCGGGCACCTTCCTCCTTCCCTTGGGTAGCTAAGACCCTCACCCAGCTCTGGATGCCAATCTGGACCCTCACGTTGTCAGGTAGCCTCCAGTTGGGGGGCTCCTCAAAGCCTTGGTTTTGTCAGGTTCACAGACCCACTTCATAGGGTTGATCTTTTGCTTGCTTGCTTGATTGATTGATGGGATTATTTAGTGGCACAAGAAAATGACATTATGAAACAAGCCAATGACAAGCAATAGGCACAGGATGATTTAGCTTTAGTTAAGTTTAAAAGTAGAGGAGCCAGGCACAGTGGTGTACGCCTGTAATCCCGGCAGCTCGGGAGACTGAGGCAGGAGGATCTCAAGCTGGAGGCCAGCCTTGGCAATGTAGCAAGACCCCGTCTCAAAATAAAAAGAGCCTTCAGAAATAAAAGAGAGTAAAGACTTTCCTGGTATGGGGGGGAAGACAAGAAATGTGGTACAGTGGTAGAGCACCCCTGGGATCAATCTCCAATACAATACCACCAAAACATTTTATTTATTTATTTTTTTTAGAATTTTTTAATATTTATTTATTTAGTTAGTTAGTTATTGGCGGACACAACATCTTTGTTTGTATGTGGTGCTGAGGATTGAACCCGAGCCGCACACATGCCAGGCGAGCGCACTACCGCTTGAGCCACATCCCCAGCCCGCACCAAAACATTTTAAAAAACAATAATAAATTGGGCTGGGGATGTGGCTAATGCGGTAACGTGCTTGCCTGGCATGCGCAGGGCGCTGGGTTAAATCCTCAGCATCACATAAAAATAAAATAAAGATGTTGTATCCACTGAAAACTAAAAAATAAATATTAAAAAAATTTTCTCTCTCTCTCTCAAAAAAATAATAATAATAATAAATTAAATCGTACGAACAGAAAAAAAAACTAGAAAGTCTATACCAAAATATCCACAGTATTTACTCATGGTCAGTGATTAAATATTCTTCCTTTTTCTTTTGTGTATATTTTTGAAACATGAGGGTTTCCCAAGCAACAAAAAGTAATGGAAAGAGAAATAGTTATTAAATGCCAGAAGTTAGGAATCCGAGTGGCCAAACCAGGCGCCCAACAGCCAAGATCTGAAACCTGAAAGGGGTCCGGCCAGAGGAATCAGTCTAGCCTGAAGGTCTTTCTTGTCATTTCCCACGGGAGGGATGTTTATCTGATTACTTCCTGTCTATTTGATGCTCTCCATGTAAATACGTTGAAAGGGACTTTTGCTAGCATAAGCATGCAAGCAACTTTGGTTTGGGATTGCTGCAAGATGTCACTGGTTTTTCGTTGTATACCACACAACACACACCAGCTCCTGTAACAAAAACCCCATCTGACTTGCTGTCAGTGATTCATATGGATGGGGTCTCCCTCTTCCTCATAGGATCATTTTAGCTAAAGAATGTGCAAGGCTCAGTCATCTGCATTTGATCCACGTTATTATTATAATTCCCAACAACTTACTTCCTCCTTGTTCACACCCTGCCCTTCCCTCTCCTGAGACCATTTGCTAAGATCAGATAAGACCCTTGGCTCTTTGCAAAATTACCACCATTATAAACGTGCGGTGGAAATCAAATGGGAAGGAAAAATGTCACTCATCAGAAAAAAAATCACACCCAAAGACGTTGGCCTCCTTCTTTTTCAGCAGGATTAGAATGCAGTTGTTATTTTACTAAACAGGAGATAGAAAATGGAATAACTTTTGCAACATGTTTATCTTTTCTAACTAAAAGCTCACTTTCTGTGAGAGGCTCACTCACCTGTCCAAACCCAAAGCCTGGACTGAGAGACAAAGGTCTTGTAAGATCAGGCCTCTGGGGGCGAGCAGACAACCCCCAGCAATGTCACAGTCAGCATTTTACCCCTAAACACGTGGTACCTCCCCAGGTCCTCATTGGCTGAGTAAATGGGGCCCACAGTCTTCCCTAATGTCACCTAGTTTTACTGTCTCTTATTGGGTTATTTAAAGAAATACACCTTGAATTGTCCTCACCTCCCTTTGTTCTCCCGTGGCAGGAAGGCCTTTGTGGGACTGAGTGCATTTGGGCACATATGGAGTTTATCTCTGTTTGGTAAGGCAGGCCCCCTCCCCCTTCCTCCTGGTTGTCAAGGGACTGTGAATCTGTCACACTCAGGTGTTAAGTGCTGGTAACCATTTGTTCTATTTCCTCCTTGGCTGATTTTCTCTCAGTAATTTTACATCTAAGATGAAACACTATATTCTGAAAATAGACCACTGGACTTTCCATTTCTTACCCCACCAATTTGTACTGTCAAATTCCTGTTTAAATGGGTTTAAGTGTCCCTTTTCCCAGATTGGCATCCTCGAATAACAAGAACCTCTGCTCTCTTTTATTATGCATCTGTAACTATCCGGTACTTGGCTAAGCCCTTTTGTGGTTTATGATCTGTGCCAGAATGCAAGCCTGCGAGTTAAGAGATTCCCAGTCAGCATGGACCACGTGCCATAAGGGGCCTTTCTTGGCAATGCCGTATATTTTTCCTTCTTTGCTGCTGAATCTTACTGAAGGGTACAAGAAATCGCAGGCTACAACATCCTGCGTATTTTCCTGTCATTTATCTTCAAACTCTTTAGGCATGGAGTACATCTCCCCAGGAACAACAGGTAGCAAGTTCACCCTCTGTTTTGCATACACAAAATGAGCATCGACAAACTCCCAACAGAGAGTGTTAGGGAGGTGCCCCCACCTACCTCCACGGCACCACCAGCTCCATGCTTTCTAGTCTCTGACTGACAGCACGTCACTTCCTACCACCAAGGCAACAGACTGAGCAGAATATGTAGGGGAAATTTTTTGAAATTAGGTAGTTCACATATGTAATGTGAGGCTATATAACCAGCCTGAGAAGTCAGGTAGGAACAAGGCAGACTAGACCACAGGTAAAAGTATTCCATGAAGCCAACCAGGGGAGGATAATATAATGCGCTGCAGGACGTGGCCCAGCCAGTCTTACTGCCGCTTCTGGAATTCAATACATTAGTCCTCCCTTATCTGCAGTTTTGCTTTTTGTAGTTTCACTTATTCACAATCAGCCTCAGTCTGAAAACTTTACATAGAAAGCTCCAGAGGTAACTTATACGTTTTTAAATTGCATATGATTCAGAGCAGCATGATGAAATCTCAAGCCACCCTACTCTATTCCAGTTGGGACAAGAATCAGCCCTTTCCAGCGTATCCATGCTGTATACACTACCCTCTCCCATGAGTCTCTTAGTAGCCATCTCTGTTACCAGTTCAACTGTCAGCTACTGTAGTGTTTATGTTTAAGAAACCCTTATTTGACTTCATAATGGCCCTAAAATGCAAGAGTAGTGTTGCTGGCCATTAAGAATGGACGAAGGAAAGCTGTGAACTGCTTCCTTCGGTGAAAAGGTGAACATTCCCTTCTTAATAAGGAAAGGAAGATTGTTGTATTCTGAGATTGCTAAATCTTACAGTAAATTATTGTTAATGTCTTGTTGTGCTTAATTTATACATGAACTCTTATCACAGGTATGTAGGTGTAAGAAAGATGTTGTCTATATAGGGCTTAGTACTACCCGTGACTTTCAGGCATCCATGATGGGTCTTGGAATAGATCCCCAAGGTGGGGGGGACTGCTGTGCTGAAGCCTCCCCAGTTTTCTGTCCCCACTGGCCACCTCTAGTTGCTGCTATTGCCACTGCCACTGCTCCTCACTAATGGCCTTTCCCTGAGATACTGACAAGCATGCTGTGTGTAGCGGGAGAGAGGACCTTGTTTAAATTTGAATGGCACAATAACACAGAATTGGGTCCAGCGACCCAGGCTGTGATTCAGGACTTAAGGTAGGGTGCATCCAGGTGACAGCTTAGTCCTGTCCTCCTTCTCACTGGAAGGGAAGCTATGAAAGCAAGGCTTGGGGCTTGGGGAGAGTGCTGTTTCCCACTGAGAATCATGAGGTGGATTTGCCCACCCACAGAATGGGATTTCAAATGCTCATCGACAACACCTCTCCTTCCCCTGCAAAAAAAAAAAAAAAAAAAAACTAATCTTACAAATCTCCCTGCAAGGCCTGTTGTGTCCACCTCATTTAATAGATGTCAAAGTACTTTGGTCCAGGGCACACAGGTGCTGAGTACAAAGCCCAGCACCTGTAGGCTTTCTATCACCCAGAGCCACCGCCTGAGGAGCTTCCAGTTGTGAGCAGCCCCTTCTCCTAGCCCATGTCACACCTTTGTACAATAAGTGTTACCTCCTGGGTGGTTTCTTTCTTGGCTCCTCAGCATGTCCTATGTCCCATGGTTAGGTTCCCTGGCTTGGGGTCACACCTAACTTTGAAGTCCCCTAGGATAGGGATAGTGGATTACAGGTCTCTACGACACCCAGGTGTTTATCAGCTGTACTTTCCCATTTGCTGGTTGACCCACTTTGACCAGTGGATCCAGTCCCTCCAAAATTCTCATCCCTGAACAGTCTCCCTGTGACTTCAAATTACTGTCCCTCTCTCTACTTCAGTTTCCCTAGCTGTAAATGGAAGTAATAATGAGGCAGTGATATCCTCAGCCATGTATGAGATGAATGAATATTAAATATATTAAATATTAATATTAATGAATATTAAAATATCTGGTAATAGCTATGCATGGTGGTGGACGCCTATAATCTCAGTGACTCAGGAGGCTGAGGCAAGAGGATCGTAAATTCAAAGCCAGCCTCAGCAACTTAGTGAGGTCCTAAGCAAGCAGGCAAGGTCCTGTCTCAAAATAAAAAATTAAAAGGACTGAGGATGTAGCTCAGTGGTAGAGTATCCCTGGGTTCAATCCCCAGTGCCCAGAAAAAGAAATCTGGAAATAAGAGAAAGAAAAGTTCAAGAATTTAATGTAGCTTTCCCCTCTCTTTTACAACACGATCCTTGAAACATCAGCAGTCACAACTGAAGGGTCAATTATCTGATACCCATTTCTGGTGGTATGACATATATTCTTCCAATGCTGTGTTCGACTTGCCTAGTGTGGGATATAGTCCCCTTCTGGAACCGCACGCAGCCATTCCATCCCTGTGAATCTACCCCAGCTGTTGAGACCATCTCCTTCCATCTGCACACTGGTTTCATTCCTGAGTCCTACATGCAGCTGGGGCCAGAAGTGGCATGACCCTGGCATTTCCAGTAGGCCTTGAGCTCTTGGTTTGAAGAGCTCTGGCTTGTGACCTGTAAAAGCATCTTTCTCTTCTGGACCATCATTGGCTTAGTTTGAGGATTAAGTGGAACTGTAGGTGAAGCCCCTGGTGCTTGGTAGGTGCTTATCCAAGTGGCCATCATCGGTGTTAGCATCTGCCATCCTGTTTCTGGTTGTGGTTGAGGCTCTGTCTGGCACAATACCGGTTTCACCAGTTGCATCCTTAAAGTTGCGATGTTCGTCAACTCAGCAGGACTATTAATGCCACTATCATTAGTAATAATCAATAACCACAAATATGAAAACACCAGAGGCTACTCTAGAGAGGCCTGCCACCGAGAACTGACAGCTGCCAGACAGACAGACAGATAGGTGCAGTAGCCTGGCCTGGGCCAGCCCTGGCGACTGTGGAAACAGCTTGGGAAAGGAGCCCCACCTGCTCTCACCTCCTGTCAACAGTCCTCTCTGGTTCTTGGGAGGGGGGATGACACCCTCAGTAGAAAAGCATCCCTTCTGGACCAGACACCTGATTTCTGACCATGAATGAGAATCCGAGCCCTGTGTGGGAGTGGAAGTGACTAAGGCACTGGGGGATCCTGCAGGAGGAGAATTATGATCAGCTTAACCCTTCCAGCCCCTGTCTGCCTACCACTCCAGGCTTTGCCTTGGAGCTTGGCTTTTTATTTGTGTTTGTGGGGAGTTGGTTTGCAGTGCTGGGGGTGGAACCCAGGGCCTGCAGCATGCTAGGCAAGCACTCAGACTGAGCTACACCCCAAGCCTTCAGATGTCAGCATTGATAGCGGCTCTATTTGAGCCAGCTAAGATGGGTTCTGTGGCTGACAGGGAAGAGGTGATGCAAATAGCCCTTTGTGTCACAAGTCAAGGGGACAGGATGTCCTACGGCGACGCTGATGTTGTCAAACCCTGCTGGGTGTTCATCAGCTCACCAATCTGAGGCACAGTCTGTGCCCTTGTTTGTAAAGTGTGATGCTCCCATCACAGTGGCTGTCGCAGGACTCTCTCATTCCGCGTCATGCAGAGAGCAGCAAGCATCATGCACAAATGCTCAGTGAGTGTTTGTGGGGTGCTGGTTTGCAAATAAAGAAAAGGGAGGCCACAGCGAGCTCAGAATAGGCAACGGGGTGTTTGCACGAGGAGAGGGAGGATGGGGCAGAGTGGACGACCGAACATCCCTGCAGGCCCCAGCACTCCTTCCAGAGTGTGCTCTGACCATGCTTGACTTCCCTTTTCTCTGGCAGCTGAATCGGAGCGACAGTGACAGCTCCACTCTCTCCAAAAAGCCACCTTTTGTGCGAAACTCCCTGGAGCGGCGCAGCGTCAGGATGAAGCGGGTAAGAGCCACCAGAAGCTATTTGTGTGTCCACTCCGCCTTTATTTCCAGAAGGCCTGCATCCTGCCCACACGTGCCCTCTTGAGTGGCCATTTCTCCTTGGCCACTGGCTCGAAGGGCATTGTCCTCACAGGGTGGTGGCATTTGCAAATGGAAGTTTGGGAGCAATGAGGCCTGTGTAGCACTGGAGAAAGAGCCCAAGGGTGACCATAGCCTTATGACTGGGACAGATGGGTGAGACCAGGGGTATGTGTGCTTGACCACCAGGGTGGAAATCAAAGTCACTAGGAACCAACCCAGATGTCATGGTCACCTGGTCTGATAGAATCATGCTCAGCACCTCCTGGAATCAGGTGGGAACAGGGAAGAGGCCCCAGTGCAACTGGGCTGAAAGATTAGGGGGTGGCATTCAGAAAAGGAGGGACCCCTTCTTAGGACTCTGACCACAGGACTGCAGGAGATGCTCCTCCTTGGGCTTTCAACATGGCTGGGAAGCACCTCTGTCTGGTGCGTTTGCAGAACCAGAAGAAACCCAGGAGCCCGAAGGTCAGAAAGAGATTAAAGAAAGAGCCAGAGAGGAGAGCAGACCTCACCCTGAGGCCCGGAAGGCCCTCTACCTCTCCTACAGGCCTGCCAGTGGACAGCCAGAAACAGGAGTGGGTCCGGGGCTGGGCTGTGACTCTGGCACAGCACTGGCCTAACATGCATGAGGCCCTAGGCTCCGTCCCCAGCACTGCACACGCAAAAATGTGGTCCTTTCATTGCCTAGTGCCACCTTTCTCCCTGTCCCCAGAAAGTCTACAGAGACAGCAGAGAGGGCAGAAGAGGGAAAGCAGTCAGAGAAGGTGTGAGAGAAAGGCAGGGTGGCACTGTGGATGTGGCCTCAGGTGACAGGCTACCTTTCCACCCGGTGGATCTGCTGTCGCAGATCCTGTTCACTATGAAGATTCCAAGCCCACACTCACCGTCAATCTAAGTCATTAGACTGGGAATGACATTTTCAGCTGTGTGAGGGATCCAGCCCTTCCTGCAGAAACATTGCTGCGCAACTCCTACCTGACCCCCTGCTCCTACCACTCCCTTCCAGGCAGGCCCTACAGATCCTGCCCTTAGCCAGGGGATGGCCCACTCAGGGGCTCCCCAGTGGTGGGTCTGAGCCCATAAGAACAGCAGAGTCCAGAGGCTGGGCTCAGGTCTTGGGTCCATGCTTCTCCTTGCTGCCTGAACTGTGCCTCTGTGGCAGCCCAACCAGGCAAGACTGGACATTGGTGATAGCAAAGCACAACGGCTGCTCTGAGAACTTGAGCCGCATAGATCACTCAGCCTGGCTCCTTTGGGACCCCCTCACTTATAAGCACAGACCAGATAATGTTCACCCTAGAGAAGCATTCTAGAACCTCTGCATGGAGCTAATTTATGTTCCTGAAACTGCTTGTCAACCCTGCAAGGTGAGGAGAGGTCTTCTAGTTAGTGTTTCTTATACCATATCTCAAACCCCTTTACTGGTCATTGTGTCTATTTTGTAAGGCTATATAACAAGTTACCACAAACTTACCAGCCTAAAATAATACATATTTATGACCTCAGTTTCTGTGGGTCAGGAGTTGGGCCACAAGTTAGCTGAGTCCTCTGCTCAGGGTCTCAGCAGGCTGAAGTATAGGTGTTGATTGCATCCTGATCTGGAGATTTGACCAGGGAAAGGGCTGCTTTCAAGCTCCTTCAAGTTGTTGGCAGAATCAGTTCCTTGTTTCCCTACTAGCTGCAGTCCACAGGCCCCCTCTCAATTCCTGGAAGTCACTCTTAGGTCTTTGCCATGTGACCCTCTCTGTAACATGCATCACTTCTTCAAGGCCAGCAGAGTCACCCAGCCAGGAAGAGCTCAATCCATCTTTTAAGGGCTCACCTGATAAGGTCAGGCCCATCAGGGATAATCTGCCTTTTGATTAACTCAAAGTCAACTGATTAGTCACCCAGTGACATATCCCATCACATCCACGCTGAAGGGAAAGAGATTATATAGGGCAAGTATATTAAGGTTGGAAATACTGGGAGCCATCTGAGGATTCTGCCTCTTACAGCCATTTAGTCATTCTTTAGTTTTGATGGAGGGAGAATTGATGATTGTGTTAATCAAGATCTTCTGCATACAGATGGCGAAAGAACCCAACTCTAATGCACCTTAAAAACAAACGAGGGAATTTACTGTCCCATTTAATGGAAAAGTCCAGGCTGGGTATCGTAGTTAGGTTTCTGCTGCTGGGACAAAATAGCTGGACTTTTAACTTGAAAATAGGAAAGGTTTATTTGGGGTTACACTTTCAGAGGTTTCAACCCATGGTCACTTGGCCCTATTGCTTTTGGACCTGTGACAGCACAGTACATCATGCAGGGACGTGTGGCAGAGAAGGCTGCTTACCTCATGGCAGCCCAGAAGCAAAAGGGAGAGGTAGGGAAGGGCTGGGGTCTCCATATCCCCCTGAAGGGCACACTGCCAGCGACCTCAGGTCCTTCCACTCAGCCCACCTCTCGAAGGTTCTGTCATCTCCCAATAGCAGCACAGGCTGGTGACCAACCCTTCAGCCTATGGGACTTTAGGGGACATTTAAGAACCAAACAGTAACACTGGGGAAGTGTCTTAGTGGTTGAGGCTTGCCTAGAACATGCAGGGCTCTGGGTTCCATCCCCAGTGCCACAAAAAACAAAAACAAAAAGAAAGAAAGGAAAATCTGTGCCACGAATCTAGCTTCAGGCTTGGATTAATCCAGCAATTGAAACAATGTCGTCAGACTTCATTTCCCCTGAATTATCACTGCTCCTACCAGATAGCTCAGTTCTTAAGCAGGATCACCCCATATGATGGTAAAGATGACCATGTTATATCAGTTCCAGGTATATCTTGCTGCCTTTGCAACCCTCTGTGTAAAGAAGTTGCCTTTGTTCCAAGAGGTTGAGCAAAGTGTCAGCAGTGATTATTATTGGCTGGGCTTAGACAGCATACTCACCCCTGCACTGAGATCCTGATTGACCAGGTTCAGGTGACATCCCTGTCCCTGGTATGCCCACAAACCAGATAGACTGGATGTGGCAGAGGAGGAAAGCCTTAAGGAAAGAGGAGGGCCCTGGGGATGAACCCAGGACTGCAGAAACACTAGAGGGCCATAGATAGAGGCATACAGGTGGGAAGACCCGACTTCTGCTCCAGGGGATCAGGCCTGCATGGAGGAAACCACTGCAGAACAGGACAGGGGCCAGCATCCATTAGCCAGGTATAAATGTTGAGGCTTGAAGTGACTCATTGTACAGTGAGTGGGTGGGGCCTGCGATCACCACAGGGGACAGGCTCAGCTTGACTTCAGCTCTGTGATTTAACCACCGTGAGCCTCATCTGTAGTGCAGATCCTAAGAGTTGGGTTGTGAAGATGAGATGGGACAACGGACATAAATCCCCAAACTTGATGCCAGGGACACAGTAGATGCCCAACAAGCATAAGCCGCATAGCCGGAGCATCTATCAGGGCTCCAAAGGAGGACAAGGGAGGGATCTGGGGTTCTGGGGGAGCGCCACGCGCCTCGCTGGGGGGGAGTCAGCTGGTAACTGGTAACACCCACCACCCCACAGCCTTCCTCTGGGAAATCCCTGCGCACTGAGCGCCTGATCCGCACCTCGCTGGACCTTGAGCTGGACCTGCAGGCAACGCGAACCTGGCACAGCCAACTGACTCAGGAGATTTCGGTGCTGCGGGAGCTCAAGGAGCGGCTGGAGCAAGCCAAGAGCCGCGGGGAGAAGGAGCTGCCACAGTGGCTGCGCGAGGACGAGCGCTTCCGCCTGCTGCTGAGGATGCTAGAGAAGAGGGTGAGTGCCGTCTCCAGGGGTCCCAAGACACCCACTCAAGGTCCATTAGGTCCAAGAACCCTTCATTCCGATCCGCAAAGGAACCCAGGTATCCTTTTGCCCACTACTGAGGCGGCCACGAGGCATGTTGGGGGGCTGACTCGTTTGTGTGAGTCCTTAGGACTGATGCGTTCCCTTGCCTGACCTCCTTGCTCATGCACATCCGGAACCTAATCCAAGCCCGACATGTGCTTCAACATGGCAAAGCTGGGACCCTGACCATGGCTGCCCAGGCAGGCAGTCCCAGCGAGCAGCCCCACTGCCCCACACTCCGCTACGGAGATGAGAGCTGATCTGCCGGGCTCTGGGCTGACAAGATGCCCTAGAGTTCCCGCCTGGGTGAGGGGGTTTCCTGCTGTAGTGAGTGAAAGGAATTTCCAGTTGATTGTGGAAAAAGAATCAAAGGGCGGCAGTAGCACACAGTGGGGTTTATGTGGGCTGCGCTCTCGGCAGGTTTTACATGCAGGCAAAGCCCCTCATAGCCTGAGAATTCCAAAGGCGCTGCGGACTGCTACCCGGTGGGACAGTGCAAGGAAACCCCCAATGAGTAGGAGACTTACACATCTAGATGATGTCCCCTCAGCAACACAATGAACAGTCTGGGAGTCAGAGAATTCCAAAGTGCAGGAGCCGTTCAGGATCTCTCAGAGCTCCGGACTCATCTCATCCATGTTTAGCAGATGTTCCCTTCGGTTTCGCAGGTCTTGCAAAGCAGGAAGGTTCCAAGTGGCTAAAAGACCTGCTTGCTTACTTGAGCTGTATGTAAAATAATTAGGTGAGAACTTGAGTTGGGCACCACCAGACTTCTAGGCCAGCAGATTCCAGACTATCATGAAGAAATAAACAGGATAGGACCAATATACAGAGACCATATTTGACTTGCTTATAATAAATAATACCTGCTACTCTCTCTGCTTGCCACCACAGCAAGAAAGACCTTGCTGCTTCCCTCTTCACACAGCCAGACAAATGGGGTCTACCTGGATCATCTCACCGGCCATCAGCCAAAATCCTAGCTCTCGGTACAAGCAGTGATATCTTAGGGCAGTAAGATGATGCTGTACTTCTTCCATCTGGACTAGTCCAAGAGCTTCAAACTGACTGGCAACTCAAAAATGTTTGTTTCTTCCCTATTAGTAATATATTATAATATATTTATAAATGGGGTTATAAGAAGAGCATGGAGGATGGGAATATAAAGTTAGAAAGCTTTAAGGAGGAGAAGGAAGTAAATATATCCCAAACCTAATGTAACCTAATTGTAGTTACTGTTACCTTTGAGCTTCCTGGTAGTCATAGCAAAAACAGATGAGAAAACAGGCACATATATGCCCTGCCTTAAGAAAACACAATATAAGAAAACTTGTGCTTTCAAATAGTAAAAACAGTACATCTATTACTTCTTCTAACAACCCATTTAAATGATGGCTTCCTTGACCAAAACTCTTTGTGCCATGTTTTCAAGGGTATGACATGAGGAAAGTGTGTTGCTCTCCATGGCCTCTTTCTCAAATGCCCTCACGTAGGTTTATATCAGTAAAAGGATCATAAAGGACCTACAGCACTTATGCATGACAGCATGACTTGGAATCGGGTTTTCACCTTGTTTCACTTATTTGATGTTAAAGAAATTTCTTGACATGCCTAAGCCTCAGTTTCCTGGTTGGTAAATAGAAGGAATTACAAAATTTACCCCCCGGGGTGGCCTGAGGATTAGATGAGGCAGCACACATTTCTAGAGGCCAGGAGGCCTCCACTACCTCAAGGCCTTGCTTGCTTCACCCCCCAGATGGACCGCACAGAGCACAAGGGTGAGCTGCAGACAGACAAGATGATGAGGGCGGCCGCGAAGGATGTGCACAGGCTGCGCGGCCAAAGCTGTAAGGAGCCCCCAGAAGTACAGTCATTCAGGTAAGTCAGCGGCCCTCACCAGCCCTGGCCTCCTTCCCCGGCCTCGCTGCACTAGTCCCCTGCATGGGTCTCTAGCAGAGCTGTAGCGCGTGCTGTGACAGATGTTCATCCTCTGTCAAGCGTCGCTGCCTGTCTGGGCTTCTCGGTACTCTTCCCCCGCCTGTCTTTATCTGTCCCCACACAACTCCAGCTAATTCGCTAGATCCTCTTGTTCATGAACGCGCCACCTGCTCCAGGCCCCCCCCCCCAGCATTTCCATCACTGGTGATTGCCCGGGATTGGCTGAATGATGAGTCAGCCTGGGGGGTGTAGCTGCCCACCCCGAAGGGCCTCCCTGCCCTGCCCTGCCTGCTGCCTGCCTGCTGCCTGCCAGGATCTCAGGGATCCACTTTCTGGCCACACTGGACTCAGGCATATCAGAGGAGCCCCTAAATGACATTTGGCTTGGGCTTTCTACCCACAAAGGACCTTGGGTTTCGACTTCTGTTGTCTTTTCCAGACAAAGCACATGTATTTGTGTATGTACTAAAGAGATCCCTTTGTGGAATATAAATATCTAAAATATTCTATAATTTATTTAACTATGTTTGGGTGTCTCTCAAATTTTTAACAAATGGAGAATCTGAAACAAAGAAATGCTGGAAGTCACCCTAAGACCTTTTTCTTTCTCTTGCCGTATGGGGCATTGGACTTGGGACCTCACACGTGCTACCTGAGTGCTCTACTCCTGACCTGCATCCCCAGCCCTTTTCCCTACTTTACATTGAGACGGGGTCTCATGGATTTGGGTCAGGCTAGACTCGTAATATGTGCCCCTCAGGTAGCTGGAATTATAGGTGTGTATCACTGAGCCCAGGTCCAAGTGCCCTTTTAAACTCGGAGATGCCTCTGATTTGTATGGTTGGTCATACAATAGTGTCCCCTAAAGCAGTGGTTTGCAAACAGGGATTTTTATTTATTTATTTATTTATTTTGGTACCAGGGGCACTTAACTACTGAGCTACATCCCCAACCCTTTTTATTTAAGAGACAGGGTCTCCTTGAGTTGCTGAGGGCCTTGCTAAGTTGCTGAAGCTGGCTTTGAACTCATGATCCTCTGGCCTCAGCCTCCTGAGCCAGGTGCACCACTGCACCCAAGCATTCAGGGATGATTTTATAGCCCCTCCGCTCCCTACAAGGGACATTTGATTTGGCAGTGTCCTTTTTTTTTTGAGACAGGATATCACTATGTTATGCAGGCTAGTCTCAAACTCTGTGGGCTCAAAGAGTCCTCCCAGCTCAGCCTGCAGAGTAGGTGGAACTACGGGTGTGCACCACCATGCCCATTATCCACACATTTTTGATTATCCCACCTGGAACCCTGGAAAGCTACTGATAACTCATGGTTAGAGGCCAAGGACGTTGCTAAACATCCTACAACATCTAGGGCAGCCCCCCCCCCCCCCGCGAAGATGCAGGTGTAGCCCAGTGGTAGTGTGGGTGCTAACAGGCACGAGGCACCAAAGAGAAAGAATGATCCTGGACCGAACATCTCTCAAGAGACCCCAAGCCCCACCCTAAGGGATGCCTCTTTACAGGGAGAAGATGGCGTTTTTCACCCGGCCTCGGATGAACATCCCAGCTCTCTCCGCAGATGATGTCTAATCACCAGAAAAGTATTCCTTTTGTCCCTCTGACCACGCTGTGAATGTTGACTGTGGCTAAAGTTATTTATGTGGTGTTATATGAAGGTACTGAGTCACAAGTCCTCTAGCTCTTGTTGGTTTGAAGATGAACCGATTTTTTTAGTTTGGGTTTTATTGTTATTATTAAAAAAAAAAAATACAAAAAAAAACAGCATTAAAAATGACAAGATTGTATAGTTTGTATATTTAGGAATGTATTTTTGGGAAAGAAAATTTAAATGAACTAAAGCAGTGTTAAGTTACTGCTCTTCCTAAAAATCTAGATTTTTTTTTTCCTTTTTTTGTACAGTCACACCTTTTAGAGGTTTTCCTGCAATAAAAAGTCATGTTTGAGGGACGATAATCCTGAAAGGACGTCCTACAGATGACACAGCACAGCTAACCTTTCCTAGTTAACATATTTTGTATAATATTAAAAAAAAATGCAAAGACACCGTTTTGGGGATTGAGAGGTGCATCCATGAATCTTCATGAGCTGTGACGTCTTTTATGTGGCCGCCTGACTGCGGTGGGCAGCGCAGAGCTGGCCGAGCATCCAGCCCAGGCTGGCGATGGGCCACACTGCTCTCAGATGCCCCGTGAAGCCACTGATGGGAGTGAGGGAGGGCTGCGGAGAACTCCATCCAGTTGTGTCTCCATCAATAAAGTGGCCTTTGAGAAGAATCTCCTCCCTCTTGCTTTTTCTCTGCCATCCCTCCCGTCTGTGTTTCCCTGATTTTGGACTCTCTCTTTCTTCTCATTTCCTCCTCTCTCATCCCCAGTCTGGGGGAGGAAGGGGATTTTTTTTTTTCTTCTTTTGCCCACTCTGCTTATGTGCTCATTAGATTAAAATTCCCGATCGAGAGGGCAGTGTTCTCTATGCCTGCTCTCTCCTGTGGAGTCCCACCCCCCACCTTTAGAGGTAACTTTGCAGCTTCTTCCTGCGAGTGTTAATCCACATCACCCCCAGATTCAGTGCTGTGGGTCCTGGAGTGCACGGGTGGTATTGTGCAAGAAGCCAGGCCAGCGTTCTCTGGGGGAGTCACATCAGGAATGCCCTCGTGGGCCCTCATGTTCACAGGGCTCCACTTTCCAGAAGCGACTGCAGTGAGTCAGAAATCAGCTGTGGACAGACAAACAGCAACCACTACAGACTCTCGTCCCCCTTGCTCTCCCTGATGTCATCCTGAGCAGCTTCTCTAGAAGTATGTTGCACCAAGCCAGATCAGAAGCACGTGGGTAGCCGGGTAAAAATGGAGGCTCTTGGTGCTCAGTGATAGTGCCCTTGCCCAGCATATGCAAGGCCCTGGGTTCAATTTCCAACACTGTAAAAAGAAGAAATGGTGCCGACTCTCGGCAGGCACCATGGTACATGCCTACAACCCCAGCTGCTCAGGCGCCTGAGACAGGAGGATGGCTTGAGCCCAGAAGCTTGCGGCCAACCTGGGCAACATTGCAAGAAAAAAAAAAAATTTTAAATGAAGACTCTTGGATCCCTCTCTGGACCCACAGAACCACCCTCAGTCACACTGGCATGGGCCCACACACCAGCATTTTACACGTATTCTCTTTTGAGTATGTGTTGGCGGGGGGTGGTTAGAGATGGACCCCAAGGCCTCATGTGTGTTGGGCAAGTGCTTTACATCTCAAACTACATCCCAACCCCCACTGCAAGTCCTACACAGAGCACAGGGTTTTGTTTTTAGTTCTGTTGGTTGGTTGGGTTTTTTGGTGGTGCTAGGGATTAAAGCCAGAGCCTTGCACATACGAGGCAAGTGCTGTACCATTGAGATGCACCCAACCCTAAGGTGCAGTTTTGAGGGACCCACTAATATAAATTGAATGAATTCCAGACAGAGATGGAGCTAAAAAGGCGAGGCTGGCCTTCTGCTGGTGAGCCCCACCAGGAATGCCGATGTGCACGGCTTCTCCAGGAAGGGGGGATGCTGGGGGCCTACGGGGGGAGAGGAGCCCCCTTCACCTGCCGCTGAGGCTCTTCCCCTCTCTCCCGGCTCCTTGCCTGGCTGTTTCTTACATATACTGCACCTCCACGGACATGGAATCACTTTCTTACCCATGTGGCTTCAAGGGCTTTCAATAGATAGGAACTACGGTTTGAATGTGGTCTGAATGTGTCCTCTGGGAGATGTTTGTCTCCCAGTGTGCAGTGTTGAGGTGGTGGAACCTTTAAGACATAGTTTTGCCTTGTGAAAGGTAACGAGGCCAGGGCCCTGCGGCCTCAGAGGGGATGAGTGCTCATCTCGTGGACTGAATTCATTCCTGAGAATGGGTCGTTGTCAAAGGAGCCTGGCACCTTCCCCGAACACTCTTCTGAGTGCACCACTTGCCCCTCACACAAGCTCCCCCACATGTTCCCACCATCATGGTGCCACCTGCTCTTGAACATCCAGGACTGCAAGCTAACTAAAAACTCTTTTCTTTATCAAGTATCCAGTCTCAGGTATTTTGTTATAGCAACAGAAAATAAACTAAGACAGAAGGTCTCCCTGGGTAGTATCCAGTTTATCACCACCAACCTGGGCTTCCTTCTTCCCCATGGCTTCATAGCTCAAAACACATTAGGCTTTGATGTATTTACTCTCCTTCCATGGAATTCTATCCCACATGTTAAAGGTTGATGTCATTGTTTCCACATATGACTACCAACATCATCCCTAAGTTAATTGTAGTAGGTCATGGAGCATAAGGATTGTGTCTCATGCTTTTCTGTGACTCATTAAGCTACATCTGGTCATGGTTCCAGCTTCATGGGGCAAACAGGATTAGAGAGGGAGGCCAACCTGCAGAGAGAAGCAGGGGCAGAGGTGGGTTGGAGTGGAGGCATCCTGGGGAATGGGCTGAATCCACTGATAGCAGCTCCTTGCACTATCTGTAGTCCTTTTGGTGAGCTGAGTCAAGAGAACCTGACCAAAACATTCAAGGTCATGAGATAAAATTGCCTCTCAGTTGTACCTTCTTCCATGTTCGGCCCTCCCAACCACGGTCAGCCCCTCCCACCCCCTCTACATCAGGGAAGCAGAGCTCAAACACCTTCCTGGTGTGTGGGAAAAGCTATGTGGAACCGCTTCTGCCACCAGAAGTGTGTCTTGGTGTCGCATCGTTGAATGGAGGAGCCAGACCACCTCTGTGGAAGTCAGAAGGTCTCCTTTGAGCCATGGTGTTGAAATCTATACACGGTTCCCTGGCAAGTCACCAACACTTTAGGTTGTTTGCAAAGAGAGAAATTAAAGGATAAAGAAAAAAAAAAAAACATCTACTTGGAATCGCGCATGAATCTTCTCCAGAACCTTCAGGAAACAAGCCCAGAAATGTCAAGGTTGAGCTGCTTAAGGTGACACAGATAATAAATGGCCAGACACCAGGATACAAATCCTGACTTCTAGCAAAATCTCCATTCTGTTCCAGCTGCAGTCTCTGCTCCATGGTGGATTGCCACGTCACATGAAGCCTTCATTGTAGGAACTTAGAACTTCTGATTTTGAAAATTATGGAATCCTGTTGTTCTCTGTGTGCTCAGGGAGGAAGTCAGGACACTGCAAAAGGACACTCTGCAAACCTCATTGCATCTGGGTGCCAGTGGTTTGCCTTTTGAACTATGGATCCTTTGTGATATTCACCCTGATAGTCTTTGTGCTTCCTGCCTCCCGAGAAGGCTGATGGATTCTTCTAGGTGCCGGACATGGAGACACGTGCCTGTTGTCCCTCCATTCAGGAGGATGAAGCTGGATGACTGCTTGAGCCCTTGAGTTTGAGACCAGCCTGGGCAACATAGAAAGACGCCATGCAAAAAAAAAAAAAAAAAATTCTTCCAGCTTACTGTCCCCTTGTCAGGCAGGCTGCAGCCGTGCTGGCCTTCCTCTGCCTCCTTCCCTTTGGAGGCTTGCAGTTCCAGTTCCTTCTGTCTGCTCTTCTCCACCATTCTCACACGCCCGCCCATCTCCACCCATCAGATCTCAGCTCAGACCTCACCCCTAGGGGGAGCCCTCTCCACCTTGGGCACCCTAGTCTCAGCTTCCTGTTCTAGAACCTGGCTTGTCTACTCCAGGGCATGGTGGGCAGTGACTGGGAACATCCTTCCTCGCCGTCCTGACTCCAGAATGCAAGTGCTTACCACGGGGACTTGGATGCCTTGTTTTCAGAGGGGCCTTGATAAAGATGGCAAAATGAATCAAACAAATGAGATGAAGAGTCTGCCTGAAGGTTCGGTCTCTAACCTCTGTCATTACTACTCAGGAAGCCGCCAAGGTTGTAAGGGCAATTGGGGGACTGAAGGCTGTTCTTGGCAGGTGCCAGTCCCTTGGATCCAGCTTCGCACAGAATCCTTGCCCCCAAACATGCGTAACCCTCCAGCATAAACAGGAGGTGGTGATTGGACAATTAAAACCACAACATTTAGATCCTTTGAATTTAGTTAGATTACTCAGAAATCAATCAATTCTTGTAACAATTAGTTTATTATTATTAAGTACTGGGGATTGAAGCCAGGGGTGCTTCATCATTGAGACACACCCCCAGCCACCTTTTCATTTTTTTTTTTTTATTTTGAGACAGGAGCTCCCTAAGTTACTGAGGCTGGCCTCGAATTTGCAGTCTTCCTGCCTCAGCCTACCAAGTTACTGGGATCTGGCCAGTTTTATTATTTTAAGCACTAATGCATGCTATAGCAAATCCCAATGATTAACAAAAGCTGTAGTAGCAAATCTTTCCACTCACTACAGACCTAGACACTGTACTTTCAGATCAAGTTTACCTATTTTTAATTCCTTTATACTTATAATAGGTAGGTGCTATTACAATCATCCCTGTTTTACAGTTGAGGAAACTGGCTCAAAAAGGTTAAATTACCTGCCCCACAGTGTTGGTAAGTGACAGAAAAAGGATTAAACTCATGTTTTCTAAGACACATCAGGATAGGGGCAAGTCCACTTCACCCTTCTGTCTCCACCCATCTAGGTCCCTCCCTGAAGCCATCCTATATTGCCAGTTTCTTCCACATCCTTCCAAAGAGGCCATGCATATATAATTTCAGATGTGTGTGGGGGGGTTCACCTAAAAACTATAATAAACACTCCTACTCATTTTCTCAATATCAGGAACTCTCCTCATCTTTTTTAATAACAACAGTCTGCTGAATAGATGAGCTATAAGTTAATCAAAGGGCACTTAGGTTGTAGATAATCACTTGCTTTTTCAAACAATGTCCTTTGCCTCCTTTTACCCATACATCCTTTCACACCTGTATGAATGTATCTGTAGATAAATTACTTCACCCTTTTTTTCCCCCAGTAGTGGGTATTGAATGAACCCAGGGCCTCACACATGCTAGGCAACTGCTCCACCACTGAACTACACCCCAGGCTTTTTAACATTCCATTTTGAAACAGAGTCTCACTAAATTGCCCAGGCTGGCCTTGAACTTGTGATCCTCCTGCTTTAGCCTCCCAAGTAGCTGGGATTACGGGCGTGTGCCACCATGCCTGGCTTGCATGCATTTTTAAAATGTGCCCTCAGGGCTCCATGTGAAACTATAAAGTGCTCTCAGCTGCGTGCCATCTCCACTGCTTGGAGGAGCAGGAAAAGATGGGACTTTGGAACCCGCAAATCCTGAGTTCTGTGTTCAGCCTGACCCTTCTATACCTGCAAGATTTTGAGCAAGATATCAC